TTTACTCCAGGGCACGGACCTGGGGTGATGTGGGGTCATATAGCAGGCTGGCAGGGAACAGTGCGGGGGGGAGAGAACATGAGGCCAGAGAAATTCGGGGTCAGTGGAGAGCTGCCTCCACATCCAGAAGAAACAGCCCTGCCCCCCTTCATTCAGGCAGGCAGACGGCCCACCAGGGCCACGCACAGTGGCCCAGACCCCACAGCTAAAGCCACAAGTCACAAAGCAAGTGTGGGTGTGGGGGGAGAATGCTCCTTGGAGCTGCGGAGGGCACTGAGCAAACTTCGAGACCCAGGCAGTGCTGAGTCAGCTCAGAGTTGGCATAGTCAGGGCTAGTCAACTAACTCCTTTGACAGAAAAGTAGAAAGGAGTGTCTTTTTTTTTTTTTTCTTGGTATGTGCCCCTAGCGGGAACCAAACCTGAGACTCTCTGGTCCGCAGGCCAATGCTCCAACCGCTGAGCCAAACCGGCCAGGGCTAGAAATGAGTGTCTTAAAGGTAAAGCATAAATTATTACATTTGAATAATTTTTTTAAATATGCTTTTATTGATTTTTTTTGTAGAGAGGGAGAGAAACATTGATGTGAGAAACATCGATCTGCTGCCTCTTGCACACCCGCTACTGGGGATCAAGCCCACAACCCAGGCTTGTGCCCTGACCAGGAACTGAACCGAGACCTCTCAGTCGATGAGACGACGCTCAGTCCACTGAGCCACACCAGCCAGGTTAAATTTGAATAATTTTTAAAAGCACATGACAACCCTGGCCAGTTTGGCTCCGCAGTAGAGCATCGGCCCGCAGACCAATGAGTCACGTGTTCGATTCTGGTCAAGGGCATGTACCTCAGTTGCAGTTCGTCCCCAGCCCTGGTCAGGGTCGTGCGGGAGGCAACCAGTCGATGTGTCTATCTCGCATTGATGTTTCTCTCCCTCCCTCCCTCCCACTGTATCTGAAGATAAATAGAAAGATATCCTCAGGTGAGGATTAAAAAAATAATAAAAGCACATGACAACAGACCTTCTTTTGTTCATCTCTTGGACACACGTTCACTGTTTCTCGGGTGCAGACTCTCCAGAGAAAGCAGGTGATGGGTAGGATGTGGCTGTGGGGCCAGGACCCATCTCTACCCCACTTCACCGCTAACAGCCAATAGGCAGTGTTGGGGCTTCCAGGGTCGCATCAGCCCCCATACCACAGGGAAAGCAGTAGCTAATTTTGTCTTCACCCAGGTCTGGTGGCCTCCCATGCTCCTCCCATAGCGAGTGACCCAGACACCTGCTTCTCTGTGTCCTCACCTGTGAGGACTCAGCACAAGACTGGCCCTCATCAGTTCAAGAAGCAGAGGGAGTTTTCTATGCTTACTAGGTACCCTGACCGCTGTCCTCTCTGAAGCGGACACACCTGACTTTCTCCTTGAAGACACAGTATGTTCTCTGTCCTGACTGCATTCAGAGCTGGGGGGAAAAGCGTTAAAGAACTAACGCCTCTCTGTTGTTATGCTTATTTATCAGTTCCTTAAGCTTCAGAGATGCTTTGTGCTACAATCCATGGGTGGGTTGGTCCCTGTCTGTCCCTGGTCCCCATTCTCTAGCACCAGCAAAGACGGGGGAGGGTGGGCCCCCTGTTGGCTCTCCACCCTTAAGTGTCTTTGATTTCTTCCCCCAGGCCAGGTTCACATGTACCTTGTGACCTGGGGTCAAAGTTGGCCCTTATAGTGGGGTAAATGATGGCCTCCCCAAAAATGTGTCCACATCCTGATCAGAACCTATTAATGTGACCTTATTTGGAAAGGGGGTCTTCGCAGATGTGTTTAAGTTAAAGGTCTCAAAATGAGATCATCTTGGATCATCTAAGTGGGCCCTACATCCAGTGACACACACTGGATTTCTGAGACAGACACGAGTAAGATAATGTGGACACGGAGGCAGAAGTTGGGGCGATGTGTCTACAAGCCAAGGAGCCCCAGGGATCACTGGCAGCCACCAGATGCTGGAGAGAAGTCTGAAGCGGACCCTCCCTCAGAAGTGCCGGAGAGAACCAATCTGCTGACACTCTGGCCTCCAGAACTGAGAGCAAAGTTCTACTGCTGTAAGCTCCTCCCCTCCAGTGAACAGGTGGGTGGGAGGTCTGTCAGCGACCTTGCCCAGGTCACCCAGAGGCTCGGGGCAGAGCCAGCGTGGTCAGGGATTTGTGTGGTCAGGACCACACGCAGTGGGGGTGCAGGTGAGACATGCCACCAGACGTGTTCCCGAGCTGCAGTTTAGTAGCACCTGGCAGACACACCAGCTCCTGCCGCTCAGCACCTTAGACCTCAGAAAGGGGAATCTTCTTGGGTCTTGATCACACATCACGCGTGTTGGCTTTTCTGTTAAGGTCCTGCTGACAGTCTTCTACCCAAGTAGATAGTTCCTCTTTAGAAGCATGTTCTTGATCCTTTCTGTGTGGCCACTTCGAGGACAGAGGGGGCCCAGGAGTCCCTCCTTTCCTGTGGATGTCAGGCCTGAGCAGGCTAAGGTGCAGGAAGGATGGAAAGCACTCTGGGATGTGACTGCCACATGGGTGGCAAGGACTCTGAGCAGTGAGCCACTGAGCAGACCCGAGTGGCTGTGCCTGGAGAGAGCCCAGACACACGGCTCCCCTGGTCCCTGTCTGGTCTGGGGCAGGAGGAAGGAGAGGGAGAGGCACTGGTGCCCAAGGGAAGAATGACTGCTGACGGTGAACTTTAGCTGAAGAGATCACCTGGAATGATAGCCAAGGGCTAACTCGGAGCTGCACCAGAGGGGCTCAGCCCTGGGGTGGCAGGGGTTAGGCGGGCAGGTGGCCCTCAGTGAGGCCACCTCCTGTATAGAGATATAAAAAGATAACATGAAACTACCATCTGACAGTTCTGCTGGCAGAACAAAGACGCAGATTACTTCTAACCCTTGATTTCCCCAGGCTTAAAATGGCATGCTACCTAACAATGTGTGAAAACTCCCTAAAGTAGAAAGCATTTGTGGGTTGGCCAGTTGCAAATATAGAAAAACCCAAATAGCAATGGCTTCAACAAGGGTTTATTTTTTTCACACAAAAAAATTGCTGAATACAAGCGGTCCAGACCTGGTATGTCAGCAAAGACCCAGGCTCCTGCTAGCTTTTTGCTCCCTGTCAGGGGATGTTAGGGGGTAAATCTTATCATGCTCTCAAGATGGCTGCAAGAGCTCCAGCCATCACATTCAAGTTCTAGGCAGGAAGAAGGGAAAAGATGAAGGAAGGGTACTCCATCTGCCAAGTGAACCCCCTTTCAAAGTATCTTTCCTGAAAGTCCCTTCCAACACCATTCACTTACATGCCACAACCACCTATCTTTGTGTACTATAAAAAGTAGAAAATATCTTTTGTCCAGTCGATTGTCCTCAATAACACTGGGGACGTTAGTAAGGAAGCAAGGGAGAATGGATACCGGGTCAGCAACTTGCAGCCCCTACCAGAGCCGCTACTCAGACAAGAGACATCACTGTTAAAACCTCCACCATGGCCCGGCTGGTGTGGCTCAGTGGTTGAGCGTCGACCCATGCACCAAGAGGCCGCCAGTTCGATTCCTGGTCAGGGCACATGCCCATGTTGTGGGCCAAGTCCCCAGTGGGGGACATGCAAGAGGCAGCCATTGATGTTTCTCTCTTTCTCTCTCCCTTCCTCTGTCTCCAAACAATAAAGAAAAAAATTTTTTAAAAACCTCAACCATGGACTGCAGGGAAGAAACCCTGTGAGGGGGGCCTATGGTCCACTGGCATGGCAACCAACGCCTGCTTGATGCTTCTCAGTCCTACTCTAGGCCTTTCAATTCCACCTGTGGTGAGGTGGGAGAGGGGGACTGAGACTTGTTTTTATCACACATTCTTAGCTGTTTTTTGGTTTTTTTTTTTTTTACTTCTGTATGATTTTTAAAAGCCAATCATGTGCTCCTTAGAAGGGAAGGAAATCCAAAGGGGTGCAAAGTTCATCTCCAGTTCCAGCCCCAGGCTGGCCGGTGTTACACCTTCCCCATTCCCCAGAGGGATCTGAGCCACCTTCCTCCTGGTCAGAGACCCTCTCCCCAGTGCCTGAGGGTGGGAGGGAAGGACTCACGACTGTCTCGGGGCACTGACTCAGGGAAGCCAGCCACCAGTTGCATGTGCTGGATACAATTTGGAGCAGACTATGCGGGTGGGGCTCAGACCCAGCAGGTCCTTGTCGCCTTTCCTACTTCGCAGTCACAGCAGCAAAGGGCCTTGGAACCTGGGCTACCTGACTCCCGCAGAGGCTGACACATCAACCATTAGGACTGTCCTCTGGACTTGGCTGAGCAAGGCTCTGGGGAAGCAGAATGCAGACTTCCAATTACATCAGCTGCTCCTCAAATGTAAGCCCCCCTCACCCCAAGGTAGCTTGCCCTTGGGCCTCGGGAACAGCAGGTGACTCGTCGCCCAACCCCTCTGGCCCTCAGTCCTCTGGAAACGCTGTGCACTAACAAAGCAAGAGCCACAGGTGAGACACTGCAGTCACACAAAGTGGCTGGATCTCATAAGGGCTGCCTCCCAAGGTTAGGCCGAGTCCAGATGTCAGACTGGATGCAAGACCAAAAAGAGGCCCTCCACAGCACCCCACCTGGTCAACCACTGGAGGGCGCCACATGAGCAGCTGGTGGAGCAGAGCGGCTGGCCCACAAGTCCCTCTAAAGCCTCTTTGGCTGCCCCATGGCCACAGCCTCTCCAGGGCCCAAGTTCTGTGGGCTTCTGCCACCCAGCTCCCACGCCCCTTCGTGCCTGTGGGAACAACGTCTCTCTGCTGTCTGGTCCCTGACCTCTGGCCCTATCCCTGAAATGTCCTACGTTAAACTTTCTATAGTTAATCCCTCTGCAGACACAAGGAAAACGACAATTCTGGTTGACGTGCACCGCACCAGGCCTTGCCCCTACGTGGCACGTCTGTGACACTCGGGAAGAGGTAAATGATAATAAATACACATCTACACAATATGGTTATGTACAAAACACTTCTCTTCAATCAACAGGCAGCAATGTTCTCACTCAACAGACCTGGATCATCATAGATGTCACCATGCCATCGAAGGCCCTGCAAGCAGAAACAGACCATCTCAGAGAAGAGCCAGGCTCTCCGGCACGGCCTGTATCCCACCCCACTCCGGAGTCAGTCTCTAACATCCAGGTAAGTAAACTTGGCTGAGAGGCCGGGACCTGTGTTTCCTGCCATCCTGGCAATGAGACTCCAAGTCTCCTGCCTCCCACTTCCTTCAGATCTCCGGAGGTCCTGCCCACTGGGTTTCCGGGCGGGGATGGAGGAGCTGTAGCATGGGCACGGAGGGCTGCAGTGCAGCGAGAACAGTGCTTGTCACTGCCCAGGACACAGGGTTCTACAGAACAGCACTGGCTTCTCCCCGTGTCCCAAGACGACCCAAAACATAGTATCACAGCTGAGAGAAGGCGCCACAGGAAGGGCCTGGCTCAGGTCACCTGCGGCTACAAGAAGCCCCTCAGGAAGCCCCTCCGAGAAATGTAGGGAATTCCCAGGAACAGGCTTGGAGTGTGTAAATGCTTCTTTACAGAGCAACTTCATGACATTCTGATATTAAAAGACTGTTTATTTGGCCCTGGCCAGTTTGGCTCAGTGGTTAGAGCGTTGGCCTGCGGTCCAGAGAGACCCAGGTTCGGTCCCCGCTAAGGGCACGTATCTCGGTTGCTGTTTGTCCCTGGCCCAGGTTGGGTTGTGTGGGTGGCAACCACTCGATGTGTCCCTTTCATGTCGATGTTTCTCTCTCTCCCTCCCTCCCACTCTATCTGAACAAAATATGGAAAAATGTCCTCGGGTGAGGATAATAAATAAATAAATAAATAAATAAATAAATAAAGGACTGTTTATTTGAAGCTATTTGAAAATATCTGCAATCCAATTTCCTCATCATCCAAGTTCAGTATCAAAGACAGAATTAGGCAGCAACAGAATGTTTCCCCAGAAGGCATCTGTTTATTTGCCTGGGCCCTCACTAGGTTCTGTGATAGCCCCCAGTACCTGCTGGGCACATGTGGGAAACCAAATGGGCAAGCTCTGCTCCCCCCATTCCCTTCTGTTTTATATGTTGGAAATTGGTGTGAGAGTTTTGTTTGAAAAAACAGGGTTCTGCTGCTTCAAATTGCTGCCTTAGGAGAACAGTGTCCATTGCTTAAAAAGACCTTCCCTCCCCTCTTTTCAAAATCACTGTCTTTAAGCAAAGCAGGGCCTACAAATGAAGGTAGCAAGCCTGAGAGTAGGTGGCCCACCTGGACTGAATGCGGTCCCCTGGGTTATAGAAGGGGTTACACATCACATCTGTGTAGGAGTTGTGCAGCTTCCGGAACATCTGAAACAAGAACCCACACTTTTAATTCACATGTATACATGATCACTGCCATATTTTTTGCCTTTCAACGTTTTAAAGCCAAGTGGTAAGAGGAAAACAAATGGCCCCAGGCACAGCTTACAGACCCCTGCACGTACACTGCGAATCTCGTTGTCTCGAAGAGCCGTGTTGGAGGAATCCACCACCATAACAAACTTCACCTTGGAGTTGGTCACGTAGCCGTATCTGCACAGCTGGTTAGGGAACACACTGTCAACACGGGGACTCTGTGGCAGCGTGAAACACAGCCTCACTGTGGAGAGTGAGAGCAGAGGGCCATCTGTGCATGCTCCCAGCTCCAAAGCCACGTTGGAGAAACATGACAGACCTTGCATCACAGGAAGTGCCCCAGGCTAGGCCTGTCTTGCAAAGCCAGGGGGACCACACTGGGTGTGAATGTACACTTCTTTGAGGCAGCTTCTGGTGTTTACTAGAGAAGCAAAGGGCAGAAAGTTAAGCCCTATCCTGATTCAAACTCCAGGGCTGCCCTGCCCAGGTCTTGCCCTCCTCATGGATTAATGTTTAGCCTGGTAGTGTTAACTGAAAAACTAGACATTTCACAGAGGGCAAATCCTGTCTGCGGTGTCCACACCTCTAAAGGCCACTTGATCTTGTAGAACATTGGTTCCTGGGCAAGCATCACTATGGGCAAGCTCCATCACTGCTTGTGGGAACATTTTCAACTCCATGGGTTTCAAGCCATTTGCCCCATGAGAGTGGTCAAGATTTTACAGTGACTTGTACGGGGCTGGGCCTGATAGTGAAAGGAGTGAACTGATCATTCCTTGCTCAGAGGTGGTGGCCCTGCTGAGAAAAAAATCCTTAAAGGCATAAAGCAGGCGCTTCCTCAGCTCTTTTATAAACCTGATAAGGGACAGATAGGCTGTCATAATTCTCTGGGTAGTTCAAACCTGGCTTTTCCCACATTATCCTCCTAATTAAAGGAAAAAAGGGCAAGGTCTCAATGAGCCTCAAGCTGCCCTAATTACCCCCAGGCTGAAAGCCCTCGCCTTTTTTTCTGTTCACATGATGGTACAAAATGCCTTTCGAGGTTATCTGATCCTACAATACACCGCACAGTTACAGATGCAATCCCTGTATTAAAACCCTTTGGGGGGAAGCCCACTGACAGGCCCTGCTGCGTGTGAAGGATACACCTTGTAGTCCTCCGTGGGGTACAGCAGACCCAGGTAGAGCTCCCTCTGGTCCACCAGCGCCTTCCCCATTGCAGAGATCTTCTCATCTACCACGTCCAGGGACGTGTGCACCATGTAGTGAAATTTCAGCTCATTCTCCGTGGGGATACTGCGTATGTAAAGAGGGTAATTCTGCAAGAGAGGATGACAGCAAATGAAGTGATGTGACTCTACCCTGTGTGCACCGGTGAGGAAAACAAGGCCAGAGCACTTGAGGTGGAGGACCTGCCAAGTGCCAGCTAGCCACGGGAACACATTCTCATCCTCTAAAGCCCATTGGTTAATTTTCCAGACAGCTGTGGGCACTGCCTTCAGGGGACCCAATCTCATCTGAGAAGGTTTACATAATGTCTACAAAGGTGCATCCCTAGGGTGGGCAGAAAAAAAAAGATGGCTCACAAAAATAGGTTTGAGCACGCCTAACAACTAACCCTGTCAACCTGGACAGGTCATTTACCTTCTGTGTGGGGCCCAGCCCCAGCACATGCTCTCCCCCTGGCCCCCTAATACTGGCTGTTTCCTGATACACCACCTCCTGCGACCTTTTCAACCTTGGCAGAGGCACTGGTCTGCCCTCTCACTAAACCTTTCAAGGCTTGGCTCAAACCTCCCTCCCTCTCTGCACGGTCTCAATCCCGGAGTTCACAGCATCTTCTCCGGGCTCCCTCCGGTCACAATTCACGGCTTCTGTCCCTCTCCTGGCACTGCCCAGATGCAATAAACACTCCACTGTCCCTACTCGAACGGGGCTGACATCGGGTGGAGACAGGCAACAAATCCACCAACAAATACATAAGGTGTTGCCGCACGTGCTGAGCAGGCAGCCAGCGCTCAGGAGCTTCAAGGCTGCAAGGCCTCCGAAGCCTGGTCTCAGAGAGGGCACAGAAGGCCATGTAACAGAGCATGTGGACAGCTAGCCGGTTCAGCGTCAGGACTCAGAAACGGCTTTCCCGAGGCAGGGACACCTGCAGTGGCCGGCGAAGGGGACGGGAAAGGCGGGTAGGGGAGAGGAGGGCCAGGTGCACAGGGCAGGTGAGCGCTGAGCCTGTCGAGCGCTGCAGTTCCGCTGGGCTGGAGCGGCGGGGGGCAGCGGCATGTGGAAGGGGCGAGGCGACCAGGTTATTCGGACAGCAGCCTCGGGCCACGAGAAGGCGCGGGAGAGAGGTCAGACGGGAGCGGGACACGGCCGGATGGGTTTTCAGCAGCACGGTGACTGCTGTGGGGGGGGTCGCTCGTCCGAGTGGGCGACGGCGTGGCTGGGAGTGCGCGGTGCGGCAGGATGCTGGAGCGGGCGGCCGACTCGGGAGCAAGGTGGGTGCGGAGGGGTGGGCCGGGTGGGCCGGGTACCCGGGGCCCAGGCGGGAGAGGAGGGCCGGGCGTGTGGACGCCGGGGGACGACGCTCGCGCAGCTGCAGAAGTAGGGGTGGGCGGAACCTCCCCGGAACCGCCCCGACGCCGTCCGCTCCGCGAAGCCGGCGGGCTTGTCCCTCCGGGGCCCTGGGCGCAGGGACGTGGGAAGGCGGAGAGCGAGGGCGGGAGCTGGACAGGGGTACCGACCGCTCCCGCGTACGCACCTCCTTAGCGATCACCGCCACACACACCGCCATCTTGGGAGGCCCGGCCGGGCACGTCACGTGACCCCCAGCCAATCACGCGGCCGCCCTGGCCCCGCCCCTTCTGTCACGCCGGCTTGGCCCCACCTACGTCGCTCCGCCGGCCGGGACGGCCCCGCCCCGCCGCTCTGCCGGAAAAGCAGCCCTTGGGGTGCCTGCCGCTGGCCCGGACTTGGCAGCGCTCCGCACGGTTGCCATGGCGGCGGTTGCTGCGGCGATGAGGTGGCGGCGGCGGCTGCTGCTGCTGGTGCTGAGTGCAGCGGAGCTGGGGGCCAGTGGCACCCCGCAGACCCCCAATATCCTACTCCTGCTCATGGACGACGTGAGTACGGGCCGGGCTCCCGGGGAGCGCTGCGCATGGGGCGACGGTAGGTGGGGAAGTCCCGGGGGGAAGCAGCCGTGAGGGCGGTCAGCCGGGGTGGGGGCTGCAGCCGCACGGGGTCGAAGCGGAAGCGAGGTAGTCGGGTCCAGACTGGGAGAAGATCCCGCCTGCATTGTTCCCTTTTCTTGCCCCTCCCGCTCTGGAAGGGTGGACGGGCAGCCCAGACCAGCTGCCGCCCTGGCCAGGTGAGGACCAGCTCCGTGGCAGCCCCTGCTCAGCCCTGCCCTCCCATCCAGTGCTCCCGGGGGCAGGGAAGGGGGTGATAAGCTGACGAAGCCTGTCTCTGCCTGCCTAGAAACTCAGTTCCTCTGCACCTGCCCTGCTGTCCGCGTCCACCTGGGCAGGCTCCTTTGGCCCTGTTGAGAATTCTAATCAAAGGCCAGGTCTTTACCTGAAGTAGAATAATGTCCCCTGTCAGGTGTGTGTGCGGCCCCAGGTGCAAGGTCACACTTGTGGGCCAACCCTTTGGAGAGTAGCAAGATAGCCCGGTCCCTGTATGGAAGCCGAGTGGTTCACTTGGCCGTTTGCAACTCTGTCTCTTGTGCTCCTTTCCGGAGTGAAATGGAAATTCTGAAATTAATCATTGTGAATCGTGAGGCTTTGGGGTAAAGTAGGGATGCAGACAAACCTGGGTTGGCGATGCTACTTTCCTGAGCCTGGACAAGTTACTGACGCTCCTAGAGCCTTGTCTCCTCTCTGTCCAGCTCTCCTGACCATGATGTGAGGACTGAGGGAGGGCAGAGGGCAGGCAGTGATGTCAGGTCCTGTAGTATGATAAAAGACAGTGTCCTGGCCTGCGGCTCCTAAAACCCTTGCAGTGAAAGCGGTGTCTGTGGTGTGCTAATGAATCAGATGTCTGGGGCCCTGGGAGCTTCAGGATGAGGTCCTCAGAAGGCCTAGGTGTGATTAAGGGGTTGAAGCTTTCAGCACGGCCCTGACCTCCGGGGACGGAAGAGTGAATGGCTGGAGATTGAGCTCCATCACCAGAGGTGGATGATTCAATCAATTGTGCCCATGTAAGGAGACCTCCTTTGAAAAATAAAAAATAAACCTAAACAACAGGAACACAAGGAGGAGGGGAAGAGAGTGGGGAGCTCCATGCCCCTCAACCATACCTTAGCCAGGGCGCCTCTTCCTGAGTCGTATCCTTTATAATTTGTAATAGGAAATTAAGCACTTTCCTGAGTTCTGTGAGTTGTTCTAGCAAATTATGGAACTTGAGCAGGTCTGTACCCCCAACTTATAGCAGGTTGGTCAGAAGTCCAGGAGCCCCGAGACTTGTGGCTGGCTGAAGGGGAGGAGTCTCGAGGAACTGAGCCCTTGACCTGTGGGGTCTGAGGCTAGCTCCAGGCAGATAGTGTCAGAACTGGACTGAATTGTTGGACTCTCAGCTGGTGTCTGGAAAGTTGGAGAAGTGTCTGGTATGGAAATCCCCCCACATTTGGTGTCAGAAGTGTTGTGAGTAAATATAGCTCAAGGTTCACTAAAAGGCCAGCAGAGATGCTCACAGGAGCCTTTGGACCAAGGCCAGGAGCCTCACATGGCTGTTGGAGAGTCCGGGCTGGTCGAAATTGAGAGGTGCTGTGTAAAATACACTCAGATTTTGAAGACGCAGTACAGGAAAAAGAATGTTTAAAAAAATCTCACTTAATAATTTTTTATTACAATAATGACTTTTTATTATGAAAAATGAACAACATTCAGATAAGCCTGCAAAGATCATAAAAACCCATTCGTAATTCCGCCACCCAGAGGTAACACTGGACATGCTTTTTAGTCTCACCAACTCATTCAGATGATGACTGCTTCCAAAGCTGGCTCTGCAGCCCCTCAGCTGCTCCATCCTCGTGGCCAGTAGGGAAACTGCTTCCTACTTGGAATTGCTTGCCTTATTTTATTTTATTTTTTTTAATAAACACATGCACACCCACCACCTGGAGCTAGCAGTTGATGCCACCATATTTTATTTTTTTTTAATTTTTTTTCTTTATTGATTTTAGAGAGAGAGATAGAAACATCGATGAGAGAGAACATCAATTGGCCACCTCCTGCATGTCCCTCACTGGAGATTTGGCCCTCAGCCTGGGCATGTGCCCTGACCAGGAATCAAACCGGTGACCTCTTGGCGCAAGGGTCCACGCTCGACCACTGAGCCACACCGGCTGGGTAAATTGCTTGCTTTTAAAAATATTTTTATTGATTTTGAGAGAGAGAGATCGAGACATCGAGAAACAATGATTGGCTGCCTCCTACACAATCCCTACCAGGGATTAGGCCTGAAACCTAGGCATATGCCCAATCCGGGAATCAAACCAGCTACCTTCCGGTGCATAGGATGATGCCCAACCAACTGAGCCACACCGGCCAGCGTGGAAGTACTTACTTTTTGTTTCAGTAGTCAGTCTTCTCCGAGCTGGGGTCCCTGTCAAGGCTTGCTCAAGCAGCCTCTTTGGAATGGTGAGTCTCCAGCTGAGTGCTCTGTACTTCAGGTTTCCGCCCCGTCCCCTTCTCTCCGGGGGGCCAGTGGGAGTGTGAAGCAAGTCACGTGCCCCCTGGTTTAGTGCAGGTTTACTGAAATGATAATATTTTGGATGTACGTGCATACTGCAGAGACTGCAGGTGTGGTTCCAGACCACAGCAACAGAGCAAGTATTGCAATAAAGCGAGTCATGATCTTTTTGTTGGTGGAGAGTCTTGCCTTCGGTTTGTTAAAAAAGAAAAAAGAAAGAAACGCCTCTGAAGCACAATAAAGCAAAGTGCAGTAACATGAGGTGTGCCTGCATTGAGTTAAATAAAATAAGTTAGCCTTCATTCATCTGTTTCTTTTTGCCTTTTTTAATGAGGCTACCAGAAAGTTCACTTATACAGGTGGCTCCCGTGTATTTCTGTTGGAAGCGTCACTTTAGGCCCTGGAGGTTCTGAGTGGTGGAGCACGACCAACACAGGGAGTATTTTTACTTGACGGGGAGCTGACGTGGGGAGCCTCCCTGCTTGGGTGCCCCGGGTGGGGTAGCAGGAACTGGAAGAGTAACCAGGAGCCCCAGGGCTGGGCCTCTCCAGTGCAGGTTCCTTTTTGTGGCTTTCGGGTTCTCTGGCAGCTGAAACCGAGAAGTCTGAAAGACCTTTGTCCTGGTCAGCAAACATGAATAAGTCAAGCACATAACAGAGAATGTATGCAAAGTGACTTAAGCAAAATTGGAAACCAAACTGTCCTGACTAGACAGGCTGGGACAGCCGTGGCTTCAGGCAGCAGGATCTAGAAACCTGTTGCTCTGTGTCCTCACCTGCCCTTATGGTCAGCAGGCCCAGTGGGAGGGCGAACTACCATGAAGACTCAGTTTGTACCCCTGAGCCAGGCTCATGGGCTGGGGAGGGGTCTGCTGGCCTTTGCAACTGAGGCCTTGGGCCAATGCCCCGCCCTTCCCCTCACCCCAGAGATCCAGTCAGGGAGCAGGATGGAGTAGGTGAGCACACCCTTTCAGCCAGGGTGGCACCTTGTGTGGTAAATGGGAACATGGGCCCCTTCCCAGGCTCCAGCTCCCCCTCCCACCCTGTGGGAGACACAGTGAAGGCTATCAGTAAGCAGACTGAGACTTTGGGAGCCTGGCCAGCTCCTCAGTCAAGAAAACAGCTAGTGTTTTGATCTCACACAGTGCCTTCACCCTCCCCCTGCATGCCCAGCTTTTCTCGGTTTTCTATGTAAAACCTTGTGTCGGGAAAGTCTGGGTGACAGTAGCACTGGCCACATACACACACACCCACACCCATGCAGCCCGTCCGTAGGCCGGGTGGGACTTAGTGGTTCAAGGTTCAACTTCATCTGTGGCAGCCAGTAAGGCAGTAAACCTCACCGGTCAGCCCCCACCGGTGCACACATAAGTCCTGATAAAGTCATGTATTTCACAGCCAGTTTTCCAGGTTGTTTCTTTGGAATCCGTGAACAATATGCTGAGGTTTTTCAGAGACCTCAGCACTTTGTATGACACACCTGGTGAGGGTAGGGACGGCATCTGCCTCCTTATTCCCCAGTGCGTCCTCAGACCCAGGTCAGGCCCCAGTAGACACGCACTGAATGAGTTTAAAAGATGTTGAAAACCGTTTCTTCAGTGGACTTGACTCAGCTCTGTTCTCTAAGGCTGATGAAGCCAGGGTCGGTGGGCACAGAGCTCCCTGTGGGGGTGTTCCAGCCCACCTGGGCCCAAGGCCGCTCCTGCTCCCAAGGGCCTAGCACTGTTTGCATCTGGGTGCCTTGTCTGTAAAAGAGTAGTAAGAAAAACCACTCTGACTACTGAGGAAGTTTAAAGTCAAGCTGCACGACCCTGGGAAGTTCTTCAGCGCATGTGCGTCTTTATAACCATCCCTTGTGGCCAGCAGTGAGGGATGCTTGCATTGCTCCAAAGTCTTGAGATTCTAAGTGAAAGAAAGGTCGAGGGCAGAAAGAAGACTAAGTCCTGGCGTCTCGCTGGCTTTCATTCCCTGTGAATGGGGGTGGTCATGTTGAAGAGGGAAAAAGATACTGAACACTGTGTGTGAAACTGTTTCATTTATTCTCTAATAACTGCAAGGTGGATGTTGATATTTCTATTTTTGTAGCTAAGAGAGCTGATTAACAAGTAATCATAGAATGGTATTGAGCAGACAAGAGTTAACACAGTGGGCCACCATTCCCCAATAGGAAGGGCTCTGCGCCTACATTGTTTGTATAAACATGATTTATATTGAGCACCTGCCTTCCTCCTGGGCAGCTGGAACTTTGGTGGGTGCCAGGCAAAGGATGCCATGTGACCAGCCCCTCTGCCTCTCTCGTTTCTCCGACCCGGGACTTGCTCTGCCTAGACGGACAGCAGCCCATTTGTCCCTATGAGGACAGATCCACCCACGAGGTGGTGTAGGTGTGGGAGCAAGAAGGAGCCTCGAGCGCACAGCCTGGGAGCCTTCTCCAGGCCAGGCCTCAAGCAAGCTGTGCCATCTCGGCCTGCGCTGGGGCTCCTGCTAAGTCAGCAGATGCTACCGAGGATGCTTTCCTGCCCAAGCCCACAACCTGGGCACGTAGACTGTGTCCCTGGACGTGCAAAATTCCTGTGGTGCCTTGGTGGACTCAGGCACGTTGCCCCTCCTCCGCCCAAGAGCACCCCACCTTCTTCTCTTCTGCCGGCGCACCTCTCCTCAGGTACATATTTCATTTTAGTTTCTGTTGTTACCAAATGGAAAAGCCATTTCATTGACTTCAAAATAAACCATCTCCAAAGACATCCAAAGCTAAAAGGGCCAAAACCAGAATCCTCAGGCCACAAGGGCCTTTGAGAGCAGGCAGCACAGTCCAGAGGCAAAGGCCCCCAGTGTGTCACCAACAGCCTAAAACTCGGAGATGAGAACGAGGAGGAAGGCCATGCCTGGGGCACGCACGGCGGCCGGATCTCACCAGAGGCAGCGCCACCCTTATGGGAAGGGTGGTTGGACACCCTATAATGCAGAGAAGGGCATTAATAATTACAGTTAGACCACAGACCTAACTGGGACCAGCCTGAGCAAATCTGCATGAACAGCCATCCACGTAAAACCAACCCAGAGCCTCCGGATCTCTTCATGAGATCACCGGCCCAACTCTGAAACGTCTGCATAATCAGCCCAGCGTCTTCGGAGTGTTCCCTTTGGGCCATCATGAACCACGGGGCTCTGGCTGTGTGGAGTTCTACGGGGTGTACGTTTCAGTAGTGTACAGCTGGGTCACTTAGCCACACTCCATTCAACTTTGTGGGGAGCATTCCACTTGATGTTCAGTCTCAATCTGCACGACACACTTATGAGGGCGGAGGTGAGCCCCGAAACTCAGCTGCTGCCCATGCTCCCAGTGCCCCAGCCAGGCATTGTATCGTGGGGGGAGCTCTGTGGCATGGGCTTCAAAGACAGGAGGTTTAACCCACCTCTCTATGCTTTTTCCTGCAGATGGGGTGGGGTGACCTGGGAGTATATGGAGAGCCTTCCAGAGAGACCCCGAATTTGGACCGGATGGCCGCCCAGGGCATGCTTTTCCCAAATTTCTATACGGCCAGCCCCCTGTGCTCACCATGTAAGTCAGGGCTGGCCCACGGGCCCAGGGAGTAGGCAGGGGAGGTGGACACAGCAAGGGAGAGCAGGCACAGGGCGCGGTGGGCGTGGCGCGGGGAGCAGGCCGCCCTGACAAAGGCGGCAGCATCACCACATTTCCTTGAAGTCCAAGGGGTCTTGCGGGCATGTGGCCTTTCTGTTGGCTCCCTGGCACATTGGGCGCCGTGCTCTGTGGGGGGTGGGGCCGCAGGTCACTGAGGGCTTGTCCAGTGTGAGGATCTCGGAGGCCAAAGTGGCTGCATGTGGCAACGCTGATTTCCAGGCGCTGAGGACCGTGGCTTGTTCAGACGTGCTTGGCTGGGACGTGGTTCTCCACGGAGGGGATGGAGCCGGGGTCACAGGGTGGGCAGCCTGTTCCTCCCGTCCAGGAGAATCACTGCTGCTGGGGGGCTTCTACATAAATGCTGACCTTGAGCAAGAGAAGGAATCCTGGGGGGACCATGTGGACCCCACATCTCAGCGTCCTGGGAGCTGGGCAGAGGCACTGGGGGGCTGGTGGGCGCTGAGCTGCAGGGCCTGGCCAGAGCTCCCAGGTAACCTGCCTCTGAGCCAGTCAGTACAGGGGTGGTGGGCTCACTGAATTCTGGGAGCTGGTGGGGGACTCAGAAGCTCCGCAGCGCTGGCCACAGGCCTGACACGTGCTGTGCTCTCATCATGATTCTGTTTGTCATTTCCGCGCAGCCAGGGCGGCCCTGCTCACCGGACGTCTGCCCATCCGCAACGGCTTCTACACCACCAATGCGCAGGCCAGGAACGGTGCGTGTGTACTTGGGCTGCGCCGGGGCTCTGGGCCGCTGAGGACCGGGGGGCAAGGGAGGGCATCTGTCACTCGTTCTCACATAGGACCTTCCTAATCTGGGGCAGCACTCGCTGCCCAAGGTCCAGGGCTCTGTTTGGGTTACAACATGCCACTTTGAAGCAGATTGCAGCACTTTCATGGCATCAGATGACCCCTGGGCAAACGAGCAGAGGGGGTGGGAGCCTGGGGCTCTGCCTGATAGTCCCAACCCCTCTGGGGGGGCACAGTCTGTCCTGTTTGTCCCCGCCCAGCACTGTGCCTGGAAGACCCCCCAAAGGCCTGTGCAGCAGAGCCAGCTCTTCACCATTGACAAGGGCCAGTGTTCAAATCCGTTCCCTTCAGCAGCACAGCCTACTCCGTGTGGTTCACACGCTGTGGTCCTCTTCCAGCCTATACGCCTCAGGAGGTGGTGGGCGGCATCCCGGACACTGAGCTCCTCCTGCCTGCACTGCTGAAGCGGGCCGGCTACGTCAGCAAGATCGTGGGCAAGTGGTGAGTCCTGACCCTTGCCTGGCTGGGCGCATCCACACAGGGTCATTGCTAAGCATTTCCAAACAGGGAAAACATCTTGGGTGAGACGGAGAGTCTGACTCCCACGTCCAGTTAGATATCCGAAGCATTTCTTTTTTTTTTTTTTTTTTATCCTCACCCGAGGACATTTTTCCATTTTTTGTACAGATAAAGTGGGAGGGAGAGAGAGGAAGAGAGAGAGAGGGAAACATCGATGTGAAAGGGACACATCGAGTGGCTGCCACCCGCACGACCAACCAGGGCCGGGGACAAACTGTAACCGAGGTACATGCCCTTAGCGGGAACCGAACCCGGGTCTCTCAGGACCACAGGTGGACACTCCAACCGCTGAGCCAAATCGGCCAGGCCCGAAGCATTTCTTTAAAAGCTGGGATGGCTGTGCTGCTGGGAACTCCTGTCCCCAGGCTGGGGTGTTGGCTGTGAACCCATTGTTCTCCTCGAATATTGCATATCCCAGCCACCTGCCCCTTCTCTCCGTCCTCCCCTGTGCTCCCCGGGGTGGAGGGGGCGGGGTGTCGCAGGCAGCTCTGTCACAGACAGCACACTAGGTCAGCAAGTACTGGGGCTCGTCTGCGGGGGAAGTGAAGCAGCAGCCAGTGGTCAACATGGCAGACTGGGTCAGCGTGGTGCTCACCTCCTCCCACAACCACGTCAACTTACAACTGAACTACAGAACGGCCGTCATTGAAAACCGCCTGAAGTGTAGCTGAACAGACGTCCTGTAACTAAGGAGATACAGAAGAAGCCGTGTCAAGACTGGTGTGGGTGCAGAGGTGTTCCTATGTTTTTCATAAGTATTTTATAATATATATTTGATAATACCCTAGAATAAAAAACATTGATAACTGAAAAAGAAGAAGAACAAGCAGAAGCAGCAGCAGCAACCAGGAGGTCGAGAGTAGTCATGCAGTCATGCAGTGTGGAGTCACTGGGATCAGATGATCATAATTGTAGGAGGTCACGTTACCGCGCACGCGGTTTGTGCTGTTTTAAGCTCATTAAGCGATTTCTGTCTCCTCCTGCCTGAGGGTACCTAAGTGGGTTGGTGTAAAGGTCAGACGTCCTCTTTCCTTTTCTAGGTTTTGGGGCCTTTGGAGAACTGTGAGCCCCCTTCCTACAGGAAGCCTTCCATGACTTTTCATCCCTAATTGTCACTCCTTCGGCACCCTGTGGACCCTCTGCCTTTAACTGCTCTGGCACTCACCAGCACTGCTTCCTCAAGGATGAATGCCTTCTCGGTGCCACTTGGGAACTGCTGCTCTTTGCACATTGACAGTCACAGGGATGGGAGGTCCACAGAAACGGGCGGTCTGGAGGCTGCCTAATGAATGCTTTCTCCCTCTTGAGACAAGTTGGGAGCTGCCTGCCAGATGGATGGGCTCAGAGGCGGCAGTGGCTGCAGCGCAGAGCTGGTGGGGGTGCGTTGGGCCGAGGGAGCCCTCGTTGCCTGCATAATGCGAAGCATTGCCGGGAAGGCCCAGAGAACTGGCAGAGGCCGGCTGTGAGGCCTGCGGAGCCATGTCAGGGCTGCGCTGGCAGGAGGAAGAGCCCCGGATGACCGGAATTCTGTGCCCGACCTGGCAGCTCTGCCTTGGGTCCAGCGGCCTCCCATTCTTAGTCACTGCCTGGGGAGAGAGGCGAACACAAATGCAGAAGGAGGAGTCTGGCAGGGCCCAGAGAAGCAGCCTCTGGGTGAACTTGGGGAGGTGGACACAGTGCTGGTGGATGAGCCAGGGTCAGGGCGTCTGTGAGCACAGCAAGGCCTGGCTCTGGGAGGCCTGGGGTGGAGGGCTCAGCCTCTCAGCCCGGTGGAGATCCTGGTCTCAGTGGGGGGTGTTGGCTGGCATGGTTGTGACTGCCCCGACCTCGCGGCTCTGGGCCCCAGCACCATGGATCTGGATTTCCTCAGCCTGACCAAGGCTTGGGGTGGAGGAACCTGGATCCTGTGACAGCTCCATCTGCCCCGAGTCCCGGGGGGCTGTGATGTGATGCAGTTCGCCTCTGGGTCGGGCTGGCCTCGCTACTGTTTTGGAATAAGCACTTTGAATTGACATCTTAACACGAGGAGGACTTTGGCTGGTGCTTCTGTTAAGCAAAGATCGTTGGAGCCAGCGGATGTGGATACGTAAGAGTCCCACACAGCCAGCGCTGGAGTGAGGTGCTGAGAAATGACTGGGCATTTAGCAGCAGCCCAGAGAAGGCATGAGTCACAAACAGGAAGCACAAGCACAGAGCTGACACATGCACCTGGCAGAGGCTAGAGAGGCCGAGGTGGGTGCCAGGCAGCCATCTGGAGGCAGAGCATTTTAGAAGCAGCAGTGGGGAACTGAGGCCCCAAGAGATGCACTAACTGCCGCCCAGACTCAGATGCTGGCTGGCTCGGTTCTACATCTGGCCCAGCCTCCCTTGCTGCCACACATAGTGTCCTCTGAGTGACTGAGTGAATGGTGCAGTGAGCTCACAGGTACCTGGATTTGCGTGGCCCATTGCAGGGCCCCTGAGCGGCCAGGATGGGGCCTGCCCACAAGCAGGACCCTCCGCCACAGAGACATGGCTTTCCAAACACACGTCACTGCGAGAGGCTTTCTGCAAACAAAACCCTAGCAAACTCATCCGCTTTCCAGGGTGGAGCTGTCTTGTTGCACGGGGGCCGGAGCCCAGGACTGACTGTTAGCCCTGTATTCCAAAGAACAAGTAGGGCCGTGCTCAAGGACCGCTGGGACCCGATTCCCGTGGGAGCGTGTCAGTACCTCCCGTTGGCAAGAAGACCTAATGTTAGGTGCCCCCAAGGGGAGAGGGCATGTGGGGACAGGAAAGCAGGCCACAGCCCGGCAGGAGGCGCTCTCAGCTTTGCGTGGCACGTGCAGTGAGTGGCCGGAGCTTGCAGACGGCCCCTCCGCTCCAAGCAGAGCACCTGGGCTTCTGAACACTTGGCGGTGGGTGCCCTGTGGACACATTGCTGTGTTTCCTTCTAGTCATACCCATTCCCATTTCTGGCCAAGGCCCTGAGTTGGTGAGCAGCACAAGCTGGTCCTGGCACTGTCCCAGGCTGACCCTTAGCTGTAGCCTGGCCGCGGAGCTGGGGGAGGGCAGGTGGTCCTGCCATCTCCTTGAGGGCAGGGTCTTTCTGTGCCCGGGCTTAGCACACTTTGGAGGCTGGGGGGCGTTTGTTTCATTAAATGTTCTGTGAAGGTGACAGAGCGCTGCTGCTTGGAACTTCAGGGTGTCCCCATGTGGGACTCCCTGAAGTGTCCTGGGTTCCTGTTTCTAGGCATCTGGGCCACAGGCCTCAGTTCCACCCCCTGAAGCACGGATTCGATGAGTGGTTTGGATCCCCCAACTGTCACTTTGGACCTTATGACAACAAGGCCAGGCCCAACATCCCTGTGTACCGGGACTGGGAGATGGTCGGCAGGTAACGGTCCCTTCCCTGCTCGCCCTTGGGTGCCGAGCCAAGCCCTTGCCCGCTGGGGCTGCCGGGAGCTGGACGGGGTTGCTGGAAGCACCTGCCCCCCGCACTGGTGTTCCGGCCTGCTGGGCCCGCCTTGGCGGCAGGTTGTCCCACCCATGGCCTAGGCTACCACTGGAGCCACACCTAGGGGTCTCTCACCTTTTTAGAAAATAGGATGAGATCCAAAGATGCTTTCCAGACCAAGGCGTGTTCCCACGGCAGCCATCCACGTGGTTTCCGGGCTCAGGCCCACGCAGTCCTCGGGCAGGCCCTGGGCTCCAGCCTCAGAGACCACCTGCCGGCACCAGGTTGCTTGCTGGCTGCACACTAGATGTTGAGGAAATCGGCCTCGTCACAGAGGATATGCTGGGGGGGGACCCTACCTGCGAGCCTGCCGAGAGCAAATCATCGTCTGAAGGGCGGGTGCCCCGGGATTGCCCCGGTTCTGCCACATCCTGGTAACGGGGTGCCTTCAGTGTGGCCACGCCAGGCAGGGCCCTGGTCTCTCTTGAGTTTTGTTTGGCTTAATCTTTCTTCCTTTTTTATTACTAAACTGTTTGGTTGGTCCTCATTATCTATCAGTGGACCAAGAAGCTGGACCAACCCATTGCCTTTTTTATTTTATTTTTTTTAATCCTCACCCGAGGATATTTTTCTATTTATCTTCAGACAGAGTGGGAGGGAAAGAGAGAGAAACATTGAACACGTCAACTGGTTGTCTCTCACACCACCCTGACCAGGGCTGGGGACGAACTGCAACCGAGGCACATGCCCTTGGCCGGAATGAAACCCGCAGCTCGTGGGTCCACATGCTGAGCTCTATCGCTGAGCCAAACTGGTCAGGGCCCGTTGCCTTTTTGAATAGTAACTTTAGTAAGGAATTCACACACGAGACAGTTCGCCCATTTGTTTCAAGTTCAGTGCTTTCTAGCACATCCACAGTGTGTGCACCCATCCCTGGTTTCAGAACACGCCCGTCGCCTCAAAAAAGAAAACTCACTCAGTAGTGGTCACTCCAACCCTAAGTAACTGGGATCCGCCTATTGCCTTCTCTCTCGCTGTCTTCCCCGTCCTTACGCAGTGCCCCCACCCTTCCCCGTCCTTACGCAGTGCCCCCCACCCTTCCCCGTCCTTACACAGTGCCCCCACCCTTCCCCGTCCTTACGCAGTGCCCCCACCCTTCCCCGTCCTTACGCAGTGCCCCCACCCTTCCCCGTCCTTACGCAGTGCCCCCCACCCTTCCCCGTCCTTACGCAGTGCCCCCATCCTTCCCCGTCCTTACGCAGTGCCCCCCACCCTTTCCCGTCCTTACGCAGTGCCCCCCATCCTTCCCCGTCCTTACGCAGTGCCCCCCCATCCTTCCCCGTCCTTACGCAGTGCCCCCACACTCCCCCGTCCTTACGCAGTGCCCCCCACCCTTTCCCGTCCTTACGCAGTGCCCCCCCACACTCCCCCGTCCTTACGCAGTGCCCCCACCCTTCCCCGTCCTTACGCAGTGCCCCCATCCTTCCCCGTCCTTACCATCCCCCAGTCCTCCCCCGTCCTTACGCATGCCCCCATCCTTCCCCGTCCTTACGCAGTGCCCCCATCCTTCCCCGTCCTTACGCAGTGCCCCCCATCCTTCCCGTCCTTACGCAGTGCCCCATCCTTCCCCGTCCTTACGCAGTGCCCCCATCCTTCCCCGTCCTTACGCAGTGCCCCCCATCCTTCCCCGTCCTTATGCAGTGCTCCCCATCCTTCCCCGTCCTTACGCAGTGCCCCCACCCTTCCCCGTCCTTATGCAGTGCCCCCCATCCTTCCCCGTCCTTACGCAGTGCCCACCCTTCCCCGTCCTTACGCAGTGCCCACCCTTCCCCGTCCTTACGCAGTGCCCCATCCTTCCCCGTCCTTACGCAGTGCCCCCCCATCCTTCCCCGTCCTTACGCAGTGCCCACCCTTCCCCGTCCTTACGCAGTGCCCCCATCCTTCCCCGTCCTTACGCAGTGCCCCCCCATCCTTCCCCGTCCTTACGCAGTGCCCCCCATCCTTCCCCGTCCTTACGCAGTGCCCCCCATCCTTCCCCGTCCTTACGCAGTGCCCCCCCACCCTTCCCTGTCCTTACGCAGTGCCCACCCTTCCCTGTCCTTACGCAGTGCCCCCCCATCCTTCCCCGTCCTTACGCAGTGCCCCCACCCTTCCCCGTCCTTACGCAGTGCCCCCCCACCCTTCCCTGTCCTTACGCAGTGCCCCCACCCTTTCCCGTCCTTATGCAGTGCCCCCCATCCTTCCCCGTCCTTACGCAGTGCCCCATCCTTCTCCCAAGTGGTGATGGTGGCACCCAGACTCAGCAACACCTTGTCTTTGGGGAGACCATTACCCCAGGAGCAGTGTGAGCCTCCAATTTCCATCGCTTATAAACTGAACATTCCCTCAGTCCTTGTATTTATTCATTTATTTTTTATTTTTATTTTTTTTTATCCTCATCTGAGGACATTTTTACATTTATCTTTAGATAGAGCAGGAGGAAGAGAGAGAGAAACATCGATGAGAGAGAGACACATCGACTGGCCGCTACCCACACGACCCCAAACGGTGCCGGGGACAAACTGCAACCAAGATACGTGCCCTCGGCAGGAACCGAACCTGGGACTCTGTGGTCCGCGGGCCGACGCTCTAACCGCTGAGCCACACCGGCCAGGGCCCCACAATCCTTTTAAATGAGGCTCATGACTTTGCCTTCGGAATCATGGAGAAGAGGCTTTCTTTACCTGAAATCTGATTTCTGCCCGGATCTGTTCATCCAGATTTTACGAAGAATTTCCAATTAATCCCAAAACGGGAGAAGCCAACCTGACCCAGATCTACTTACAGGTAAGGGAAGCCCAGGCCGGGCAGGCTGTGGGGCGGGGAGCCCGCCTCCGGGCGGGGGCAGATGGTGTGCTCTTCTCCTCAGGAAGCCCTGATTTTCATTAAGAAGCAACAGGCAGCTCAGCGCCCCTTCTTTCTCTACTGGGCCATCGACGCCACCCACGCACCTGTTTATGCTTCCAGGCCTTTCTTAGGCACCAGTCAGCGAGGGCGGTGAGTCCTTGATCATAGAGACGTAGACCCCCCCCAGGGGAGGTTCAGCTGTGCTTGATTACCTCCAGGGACAGGGCACTCAGTACCGTTCTGTTTTTAATTACCGACTGTAGAAAGAGGTCGCAGCATCTGTGCCTCTGCAGCCACCCTCAGCCCAGGCTTAGCAGGAGGAGTGTTCCGGCAGGGTGGCCAGCACGGTCCTCCATGAGCCGGGAACTGGGACTTTCCTCCTCTGCCTCTGTGAACTGACTGTCCCTGAAGTTACGGTTTAACTGCTGCTCGACCACACTGATGCCCTGGCCACCTGGGGAATGTCCCCTCTTTCCCGTAGGTATGGGGACGCCGTCCGAGAGATCGATGACAGTGTGGGGAAAATCCTGGACCTTCTCCAGGACCTAAAGATGACAGAGAACACCTTTGTTTTCTTCACATCTGACAATGGAGCTGCCCTCATTTCTGCTCCCAGACAAGGCAGGTATTTGAAGGGTCATCAGACAAGGCTGCACTCGAATGCTGGCCCCCTGAGAGTCACTCAGGGTCCCCTCAGCCACCCCTGAGGCAGAGTATACAGGGGTTTCAGCCCAGGGGCCCCAGCCCTGGGGAGATGTCCACTGTCCCCCAGGGAACCCCCTGCAGTGATGGAGATGTCCACTCTCCTCCTTGGGCCCCATCCATAGGAACAGGTATGAGGAGACCTGAGAGCATTTCTGTGGACTTGGCTTGGGCCTGGTCACACACAAGACTGGTGGGGCTGCCCACCAACACGCACGTCTGTGACGCACTCTCCTGGCCCAGGAAGGGTGTGTCAGTGTGAGACGGGGACTGCCTGCTGCCCCTCTGCGGAACGGTTTGTTGTTCCGGCTCCCCTGGAGGTGTCTGGTCAGGGGAGAGTTCAGTGGGGGAGGACAGAGACCAAGGCCAGGACCTTTATTCTGTCCTGGCTCTGCCACTGACTGGCCCTGGGAACAGGTCACTGCAGCCTCCTGCACAGTGAGGAGCTGAGTGAGGTGGCTTCGGGGCTTTCCCCTCCAAAGCGCTGACGTCCACCAGCGTTCTTATTCTAAACGTAGGCACAGCGTGGTGACCGTGCCACGTGTCTGACCAGCCACATTTGCACCTTCTTCTGAGGTTAGGGAGCCTCCCTTCATGGTGGTGGCAATGACCGTCTCCCCAGAGCTAAAAATGCAGGGGGGACACTTTTCCCAGCCTCCCTGGCAGCCATGCCCAGGCCTTCCTTCCCCCCAAAGCTCCCTCACCAAGGACTCATGAGCAGTGGTATCCAGGAAGGAAGGACTGAGCCCCACCCCTGCAGGGCTGGCTACGGGGGAACACCCAGAGGCCCTGGTGCAGCGAGGGAGCCCCACATCCTCCAAACCAGCTCTGTGCCTCTGTCCCCGAGCCGGGCCTGCAGGCCTCCTGAGGGCCACGACCCAGGTCCTCCAGCGAGCCCTGATTTCCAGCTCGTGGAGGGAGAGCTGCTGCACCCGGTGTCTCATGGTCCGGTAAGAGTTTCACCCTAGTGCTGCATAACTTCTGATTTTTTTTTTAACAACTTTTATTGAATATAGAGAGGAAATGAGAGAGAAACATCAACGTAAGAAACATCGATTGGTTGCCTCCTGCATGTGTCCCGACCAGGAATCGAACCCGCCACCTTTTGGTGCTCAGGATGATGCTCCAACCCACTGAGCCACACCGGCCAGGACTGAGTTTATGTTTCTTAAAAAATGCTGGGGCCCCAGCAGGGCCATGAGTCCCTCAGCTCTGGAGGGAAGGCCCAGGACAGCAGGAAGCCCTGTGGGACAGGCCTGCATGGGGAGGCCCTGGGGGACCTGAGGTCAGGGGCTGCGGGGGCTTCGGAATTTCAAGTGACGGGAACAGCACAGCTGGCTCAAGCAAAGCAGGAACCCTATTGGAGCTGGTCAGGGCTCCAAGGGTGCTGTGTGGTGCCATCCATCGGCCCAGCCCTCCTTTTGGAGGGGCTTTGTCTTCGTACAGCTGACAGTCCTGGAGAAAGGGTGAACCCCTGTCCCCCAGCAAAGGCCCAAGGCCCGCTGAATATGGATGTCGCTGCTGGCCCCAACTGCCGGCTCAGGAGAGCCCGCCCCTAACAGCTCAGCGTTGCTGGAAACGCCAACCTCCAAGCCCAGGCTTGAGCTCAACCACCCTAGTCTCTGTTTCTGCGTTCTGGAACAGTTCACGTGGACAGAAGCATGGTGTGCATCCCTAAAAGAATACAAATGACAGTGAGGTAGAAATTCGTGCACCCACCGCCCAGCCTGCAAAACAGGAGAAAGGAGTGGGCTCCGCAGCACCCTGAGCGCCCACCTTCCCGGGAGGAGCCTGTCCTCAGCGTGGTGCAGCTCCTCACTGTCCCTGCACTCCCCCAGGTGACTGGGAGTCTGTCTGCACTCCTGTGTTGTCCCTACACGGCGTCACTGCTGTTTGGGGCCTGCCCGTGCTGACGCGTGGAGGTGGCATTCAGGTACCAGTGTGGGGACAAGCTGCGGGGCTTCCTGTGAGAAAAGCATTGCTCTGTTTTGTCACCTCCGTGTTCAGGGGGCCTCAGGAGAGCCCCGGGCAGTTCATGCAGCAGCAGCAGTGCCCTGTTTGTCCTCAGGACTCATCCTGTGTTTAGGGAGCCGGCGGGACATCCAGCCAGCCACGGCTGGGGGCTCTGCCCTCTGACACTCCCCCCGGCATGGTTTAGGGACCACCTGCTCCCAGCAGGGCTTGTCAGAAATGAATCTGTCCCGTCCACGATGGGGCACCCGCCTGGGCATTTTAGCCAGACTCCCCAACCCCAAACACATGGCCACTCGCAGACACTCACGTTTAAGAAAGGCTGTACTGCCCTGGCTGGTTTGGCTCAGCGGTTAGAGCATCGGCCTGCAGACCAGAGAGACCCGGGTTCGGTTCCCGCTAAGGGCACGTACCTCGGTTGCAGTTTGTCCCCGGCCCTGGTTGGGGTCGTGTGGGTGGCAACCAGTTGATGTGCCTCTCTCACATTGATGTTTCTCTCTCTCTTCCTCCTTCTCTCCCTCCCGCTCTATCTGAAGATAAATGCAAAAATGTCCTCGGGTGAGGATTTAAAAAAAAAGGCTGTGCCTACAAAGCGGCGGGGAGTGCAGTGACCTGCCGTCGGGATGCTCCATGGCTCTGCTCAAAGAGCGTCTGCATCTCATGCTAACAGAGTGGCCATGTTCTCTGTCTCTGAGAAGCTGCTCTTCATTTTAGGACAAAAAAACAGGGCATGATGTTACCACCAGGGCATTCAGGGTGTTGCCTGAGTCAGAGCCGTCTCAAGGCGTCCTGCCCTCGTGGCTGGTCCTTCCCTTCCATGGTGGTCTGTCTCTATGCCCCAGTGTATCAGCAGAGTCACCTTTGAATGGCTGGGTGGGGGACAGGCACAGGCAATGCCCCCGTAGGGCGTGTGTCACTCTGGTGACTCAGAATAGAGACAGCTGATGGGCAACAACTCTCCCCCCTCCCCCAGGAGGCAGTAATGGCCCCTTTCTGTGCGGGAAGCAGACCACATTTGAAGGTGGGATGAGGGAGCCTGCGATTGTGTGGTGGCCCGGGCGCATCCCTGCAGGCCAGGTGAGTCAGAGGTTGGCCGTGGTAAGGTCTGAGGCCATCCTGGCATGTGGAGACCTGCTCCCTCCACTCGCTGCTCTTCTCCAAACAGGGCCCCTCTTGAGGGAGGCAGCTGGTGAGTGCAGGATGCGTGGGGTGGGCACTGGAACAGTCCCCATGGACATGACACGGGGTGTTAGTAGCTGCTGTGGGAGGAGGAGGTGTCTGTGGCTAATTAACGTGGCAGTCCTGAGTGCCACTGAGTGGAACTGGTTCCTGCAGGACTTGTCAGAGCCTTTAGTATGCTCATGTGTATAGCGAACTTCTGGAAGGGGCATAGAGCAAGTTGTTTCAAAATCTTGTTTGGCCATGGAAACTTTTCTCCAAAGTGCATCTCCCAGGCCACTGTTCTGTGGACACACTCCCAGAGACAACAACCGCTTGACTATGTGGTTGGGATCTGTGTATAGTACTTGGGTGCAAACCACAGGGCTGGGTGGCCCAGTCCTCTTGCTGGACAAGGTGTGTGTCCTGCTCTGCAGAGCCCTCACTCTTCCCACCCCCTCCGCTGAGAACGTAGGGTCTTCTCTAACTGGGCACCTTGGTCGAAAGACTCTCCAGGGGTCGAGACTAATGTTTGTAGGCATGTGAGTCACTGTCTCAACTGGTCTTTCCCCTTGTAATGAGCTTCTCCAGAAAACACTGTTTGCAGGCTGGTGTCAGCTCAGCCCTCACAGCAGTGCCTTCAGGGGCCTCTGAGTCCTGTGGCTTCGGAAACAACCACCACTCCAAGAGCTGGGACCTCGCACTTTGTTCTCTCAGTCTGGACGCTGGAAGCCCAGCACCTGCTCCGGGCCAAAAGCAGGTGTTGCGGGGCTGGTTCCTCCCGGAGGCTCTGGGGAGAACCCGTTCCTTGTCTTTTCAGGCTTCTCGGCCCTCAGTCCCTCCTTCCCTCCGTCCAGGCCGGCAGTGGCCGTTCAGGTGTCACCCCGTCACCCTGACTGGCCCTCCTGTCCCTCTTCCAGTGTTAGGACCCTGTGTTTACTCTGGGCCCATCCAGGGACCCAGAATCATCTGTTTCAAGGTCAGCTGATTGACAACCTGATTTCCCTTCTCTGTATAAAGGAAATCGGGGCCTCATCCAGAGCCCACCCAGTTCTTTCACTCCTGAACTCGATCTGGGGGCGAGAGCCGGGTCAGTGGGGAGAACCCCAGAGAGCCTGTCATCGCCATCACCACCCCAGTCTACATGTCAGCAACTGCAGCCCAGTGAGAGGCAGTCTCTTGTCAGTACCTCCCAGCCAGCAGGTGGCAGAGCTGGGGCAGACTCCCAGGTGTGGGGTGTGGGATGTGGAGCCCACCCCCCCACACACAACTCCCCCCACTGCCCCTCTCTCCAAAGACCCCTTTCCCCACCCACTCTGCCTTTGGGAAGCTGCAGCCTTTGGGATCCTCTGCGCCTTGCCTGCTGGCTCCCTGCCCCCTGCCCCCTGGGCCCTGCTCCCTGGAGGGGGACATCGCAGGGAGCTGCCCAGCCGCCCCCCTGCACCGTGTTTCGTGGCGCACACTGAAATTGAATTAGATGGGGCTATCAGGCCTGCACCCTGTGATAACTACGAGAGGATTTTATTTTAAAACACCCTGCCATTTGTCCAACCAGTTTCAAATATTTAGCTCTCCCCTTCACGCCTGGCGGGGTGACTTTATTAATTGTAGTCTTTGATTCAGAGTTAAGTCTTGAAAGTGCTGATAACAGCCTCGGTGACTTCCTGCCACGGGCCGTGGCAGACAAATTGCATTTCCTTAAGGGCATTACGTGCACGTTGAGAGTGTCTATTTTTCAAAAAGAGCATCTTCCATGAGTGCGCCCAGCTGTTCTGTGCTGATATGAGGGCTTCAGATATCTGCTCTTTCCCACACCACCCCCACCCAGCACCGCAATCTCTCTTCGTTTATTCTTCCAGAGGGCTAAAGTATCTGGATTTCTTTTTCTTTTTCTTTTTCTTTTTGTCCTAAAAAAAGTGAGCCCTGGCCGGTTTTGCTCAGTGGTTAGAGCGTTGGCCCATGGATGAAGGGTCTCAGGTTCGATTCCCAGTCAAGGGCCCATACCTGGGTTGCGGGTTCGACCCCTGGTCCAAGTCAAGGTCATGCAGGAGGCATCCAGTGGATGTGTCTCTCTTACATCCATGTTTCTTTCTCTCTCTCTCTCCCTCTCCCTCTCTTCCTTCCACTCCATCTAAAAACAAATGGAAAAATATCCTCTGGTGAGGAATAACAAAACAAAGAAAAGTGAGAAGGGATTGGAACGGCAGGACGTACACCCAGGGGCCTGGACCCTGGCCATCACCTGGTCAAGGCAGGGTGTTCTTAGCAGGTGTCCACCCATGTCCATTTCAGGTGAGCCACCAGCTGGGCAGTATCATGGACCTCTTTACCACCAGCCTGTCCCTCGCGGGCCTGGAGCTACCCAGCGACAGGGTGATCGATGGCCTTGACCTCCTCCCCGCCATGCTGCAGGGCCGGCTGATGGACAGGTGAGTTCTAGCCCGGTGCTCACCCCTGCCCAGCCTCCCGGCACCAGCTGACTAGTGATGGAGCCAGAGCTGATGACAGTGAGCTCTCCTCACCCAGCTGGCTCGGGGCAGAGGGAGGCAAGACCTCTGGGACCTTCTGGCATGAAATGCACCCTCCCTGTGGGCTTCATTGCTTCTGCCTTGACCACGGAAGCAAAGAGGGGACAACCCTCTGCCGGAGTCTCCGGCTGCCCCAAACCTCTGTAGACTGGCCATACCCTGCCTTCCACCTCTGCACCAGAATGCTTCGTGTCCAGAGTCAGTCTCTCTTCAGCTTGAGACCGGCTATTCATTTTGGGTTTAAAGCAGGGATTAGATAGGCTTGTGTTCTTTTTTGTTTTTTGATATTGCTTATTTTTTTCTCTCTCGAAACCTGATGCAAGAACCTGTTTACTGTGGGGGGAGGGAAGGTGCCTGAGGCGTTAGCCTCAGTGAGCTGTTGCCCCTCAGTGGGACCAGAGCCGCAGGAGGCCATCTGCTCCTGCTTCCTTCTGCACCGGCCTCCCAAAGCCAAGACTTCAGGCAGCCAACCCTGACCTCCCCCTGCAGCCTCAGGGACCCATGTGACTTCAGCACGGTCATTTCTGTAAAATCTCAGCCCTCACCCTGTGCCTGCAAGCCCCTCACGGCACCTGACCCTCCTGCTCCTTCCCCAACAGGCCGATATTCTATTACCGTGGCAACACACTGATGGCAGTCACCCTCGGCCAGTACAAGGCCCACTTCTGGACCTGGACCAATTCCTGGGAGGAGTTCAGACAGGTAAGGGGCCTTGGGGCTGTGGACTTGACACTCCCCACACCCTGTCCGTCAGGAGGCCGCATCTGGGCAGAGAAGGCCGGCAGGAGGCTTCTGTGGAGTGGTGTGGTGACAGCCACGTGATCTCGTGATTTCTGCCATTTGTGTGTGTATCTGTGGTAAGAAGAATTTGGGGGTCCTGGCTGGTATTCTCAGTGGTTAGAGCGTCAGCCTGCACACCAAAGGGTCACGGGTTCAATTCCCAGTCAAGGGCATGAACCTGGGTTGCAGGTTCGATCGTTGGCCCCAAGCAGGGCACCTGTGGGAGGCAACTCATCCATGAGTCTCTCTTACATGGATGTTTCTCTCCCCACCCCCATCCCTTCCTTCCACTCTCTCTAAAAATCAATTAAAAATAAGTTTGGGTGAGGATTAACAAAAAATAAATAAAGAAGTATTTGGGGCGCCATGTATAGCTACAAGGACAGCCCCTTGGGATCCTGGGCTCCCACCCTCTCTCAGGCCACCCAGAGCCTGGGGAAAGGAGGCCTCGAGACAGGCTCGGACCCAGATCCAGACCAGACACCTCAGGGCCCAGGTGAACCCAGGTTGGCTTCCTCCACCCCCTCTTGCTGTCCCCCTCTGTGGCGCCTCTAAAGGGCTAGTGTAGTGTCTGCATCCCAGTGTCCGCCCCAAGGGCTTTGGGGTGAAATGCCACATACCTGCTGGGCCCCAGAGTTCTCAGCTCCTGGTCTTGGATTCTTGCTGCCCCTCACGACACGTGCTGTCCACCGCCTATCCTGCCTGCCTTTGCCTTCTCCCAAGGCTGCCTCCTCCTACCCCCCACCCTGCTGGAGTGTCTAGGTCTTTTTTTTTTATCCTCACCCGAGGACATTTTTCCTTTTTTTGTTCACATAGAGTAGGAGGGAGAGAGGAAGAGAGAGAGAGAGAGAAACATCAACGTGAAAGGGCCACATTAAGTGGCTGCCTCCCGCACGACCCAACCAGGGCCACGGACAAACTGCAACCATGGTACGCGCCCTTAGCGGGAACCGAACCCAGGTCTCTCTGGACCGCAGGTCAGCACTCTAACCGCTGAGCCAAACCGGCCAGGGCGGAGTGTCTAGGTCTTTAGACACGAGAAAAGCCTGCTAATGTGCCTTAATTGGTAGGAAAAGCAGTTTACGTTAATGAAACATCTAAGTACTGGAACACTCTGCACCACTTGGGATGCAGGTTGCAGATTTATGGGTCCCAGGTCTGGTCCTGGGTCGGGTGGGTGGCATGCAGTGCCTGGACCGGGTGCCGTGCAGATGAAGGCACGTGGGCAGAACTAAGGACAGCGTGTGCTTCCTCCACGTGGCCCGGCACCTGTGAACGTCCCCGACTCGGGGCCGAAGCACGCATCTGGCATTGGGCGGGCTCGGCTGGACCAAGAGAGCCTTGGCGTCTCTTCTGCCCTCTGAACTGAGGGCCTGAGGGCCTCTCAGACTCTGTGACAACAGCCCCCAGCCTGGCCCTCCGGAACCTCGGTGAGCAGCACAGCAGCCACGTCCCCTGGCCTGCGCTCTTGTCTCCCCACCCCCACTCGGCCCTGCTGGCTCCTGGCCACCAGCTCCTGTCCCTGTCCCCTGACAGGCAGGGCCACGCCTGGCTGGCCCCTTTAGATGCCCAGGGGCTGAGAAGCTGTAGGAGCACCCAAAAGGGACCCAGAATCTGGCAGTGTGGGGACCCTAAGGAGCAGCCGTGTGGCCTCATTCCCCCTCCCTGCCCCTCCTAATCACACCACAGCTCCCCTCACCCCCGGCCTCTGGGCCCCCCTTATTGGCTGCTTGAGAGTCTGGGAGGCCCCGCTGGCAGGTATGGCTGGTCTGGGAGCTGCCCCTTGGGCCTCCCTGTGGCTTCCTGCCCCGTGAGCTCTCAAAGCCTTTCGGGCAGGGTCCAGGCAGCCCCGACCCAAGTGAGACGCAGCCCAGCTTCCACCCGCCCAGAACTCCGAAGGGCTGGGAGAGCTTTCCAGAAAGAGTACCCAGAAAGTCCAGTACCTCCACAGCCTGTCCCGACCCGGCCATGTTCGCAGTGGGGTGAGGGAGCCAGGAGAGGCCACCTCAGCGCAGCCGGGACACTGCCCCCAGCTCTTGCACACCCCCCACCACAGTCCCCAGCAGGACGCACTTCTGTTTGCTAAGGGCTGTCTGTGGGAGCACCTGGCTGGTTTGCTTTTGTCTCCTTGAGAGGAGAAGCACAGAACTTTCTCCGGCGTGTGCAGACATGAGGAGGCCCTGCCCAGGAGGGCGGCTGGTGGACACAGGATCGGGCTGTGGGTTCACCGCACCACGGTGCATTTGCGGGGGACAGAGGCACTGTCGTTCTAATGGCCCTTCTCCCTCCAGGGATCAATAAACGGGGTACATGAAGTTCTAAAGGACCCCGTGGCCATCAACAGCTCCCCTGAGTACCAAGGAGACTGCTCCTCCTCTAGTCCCTGCCAAATGATTAACACATTAGCGACAGCTTTGTTCAGAGGCCACGTGGCCCAGCAGCCCGTCCTGAGGGAGAGGCCTGGGGTACGACACAGCTGTGGGTGTGCCTGCCTGTGGTCCCTAGGTTCGTGGGGGACACCCGAGTGGACCTTACTAGCTTCCTGGTTGTATGCTTGTCCTGGGGCATCTCGTGTGGTGACAGGAGGTGGAGCTTGTGTGGTGACAGACCAACCCAAGCCCAGGTCTTCCGTCCACTCAGGACTGTTGGATGGTGGCGGTGGAGGGAGTAAGCATCCTCGCCTGTCCGACCTGATGCCACTGTCCTAGACAAGCCCACTGCGGGGGCTGCCTGAGGCCCTGGTAAGAGGCCGGAGGGGGGTACGTGTATGACCTGCATTTCCAGATGCAGTCCCGAGGGCACACTCGTCCCCTCCTCCCTTCCCACCCCCCAGAAAGGCAGTGCTGTGACCTGCAGGTTCCCTGGCCCCGAGGGGCAGGGGAGGCTGGCTCAGCTGGGAGGCCCCCAGGGTGAGGCCTCACTCAGTCGACAGTTGTCAGAGAGAAATCCTGTATTAATTGTGGGATCTTAATTAAACCACTTCTTTGATTGGCATCCATATTATAATGTGTCTTCTGTCTAGACTTAGATGCTTCTCCATTAACCGCTCACATTTTTATGCTGAATGTGTTCCTTTTCCCCACCGTTAATCCGTGTTTGCTCTGTAGTTCCGCTCCCGGAAGCTCCAGGGGCCGCCCTCGGAGCCCAGCAGGTCCACTGCTGGCTGCCCTCCACCGTTCAGACCGCAGCCCCTGACTCACCCGGGAATTGACTGCTCAGTGCAGATACATGGAATTTCATGGGCTCCTAACTTCCCTGTTTGATTGAAAACAGAATATTAGCTGCTCCACTGACCAGCTGTCCATTATAGACAGATGGGTGTTGGAAATGGTTGCCCGCCACAGGGTACTGTCGCTCACAGAAAGCCTCTCAGTTAGTTACCATGCGTGGATCGTGGCCACCTCTGCAGACCTGTCAACAGTGCCGTGTTGGCTGGAGACTGGTGTCAAGCCACTTTCCGGGCCCAGGGGTCACCAGTGCCTCAGGACTGGACCCTTGGCCTCACCCAGTCCCACCTGGAGATGGCAGGGGACTTTTCCTCTTCCCGTCAGAGAGCCCCAGGGACAGCCTTCAGGCCTCAGATTCAAGGGAGCCCCAGGACCTGGACACAGGAGCCATCCCGGCCGTGCACCAGAGGCTGCACCATGCGGGAGCCAGGAGGCAGAGGGCCTCTGGAGCGGGCCCGCACCTGGGCTGCGGGTGCCTCACCTGAGCCTCCGGGGAGCCCGGTGTCATCTGCCCTCTCCAGCTTTTTCTGTTCTCTTGAACATATTAACTGTTGTCATTTTAGGGTCCCTGCCTGTTAACTTGGGCATCTGGGGTCACCTGTGGGCCATTCCTGTCCCTGTACATCTCTAGCTTTGAGGCCTATGGTCCCGCCCCACCAGTGAAGGAGTCTGAGGGACTGCTGAGCCATGAGGTGGATACAGTGGTGACAAGCTTTGCTCTAGAATGGTGGTTTTTTTTGTTTGTTTTTTGTCCCATTGCTTTTCTGAGAGAGTGGAAGGAAGGGAGGGGAGGGGAGGGGAGGGGGAGAGAGAGAAGCATCGATGTGTCTGTCACATCAGTAATAGCCGTCCGGTGTGACTGAATCAAAATTATACCAATTTTTTTTTGTCAGATTGGCAAAATATATATTTTTGGTGTGCCACAGAATTTTAGTAGTTGGTTTATGTGTGCCATGAGAAGATGAAGGCTGAAAATCACTGCTCTAGGAGTTAGAGGCCGCCGAGATCTGAGATGAGCTAAAATAATTAAAGATTATTTTTATTAATCCCTCCCAAAAGGGGGGATTCCAAAACAATGAGGGGGCAGTACACGGGGCATACTGCTCAGCGGCTCTGGGGAAGGCTCCATCCCATGGGCCCCCATCCCCTGGCTGCTCGGGCCTGGGCTGCTCGGGCTCATTCCAGACGGACCGGCCAGCCTTGCAGCAGCAGCTCACCCGTTTCCCTGCCTCTCGTTTGCAGGGCATTGATTTCTGCCCCGGACAGAACGTCTCCGGAGTCACCACCCACACGCAGGAGGAGCACACGAAGCTGCCCCTCATCTTCCACCTGGGACGAGACCCAGGAGAGAGGTACCCCCTCAGGTGAGCAGGGCACAAGGAGGCCTTGAAGCTCGGAGGACACACTGGCCAGGCCCAGCCAGTTCCAGCACATGCCAACGTGCCGAGTTTCTGGGGGCGTGCACCGTGTGGACGCTGGGAGGTGCATGCAGGCAGGAAGGGCAGGGCGGGGCCTCCCCTCCGCCAGGGCTCTGGGACCTGTGCCGCAGTTTCCCCACATGGGCGTGTGTCGTGGCCTTTCCTTCCCAGGTGCCCCCAGGTCCCGTTTGTCTCCCCACTCCGTGTGCCCCAGCAACAGACATGACCCCTGCCCCAAGCTGCCTTCAGGAATGGCCTCAGTGAAGGGTAACAGTCTAGGCGTGGGGTGCATGGGAGCCTCTCTGCGTGGCCACCCTCTTCTATGAAGAGCAGCACCACCAACCCGGAAAGACCCCCGAGGCCCTCAACAGGGCAGCTGCCTGCTGGGCATGACCGAGCTCCTCCCAGTGCGGGTTGGATGGGGCCTCTCCACCCTGTCGGGGAGCCCTGGGGGCTTCCTCAGCGGCACCTCGCTTTACTGGAGCTTTCTCGAGCTCAGAGGCCCGGAACTGTGAGGATGTGGAGAGCCGATCCCAGGGGTGAAATAGCCCCCCCCAGTGCTTTCCAGCACGGCTTCTTTATAGGCAGACTGTGGTCAGGGCGCAGTCCCGCCCCACAGCCGCCAGGCCTTCGGCTCATCTTGCTGATTCTTCCACAGCTGGAGCAGACGCAGGCTCCCAGGCTCGGGTTCCCTCGTGGTGGCTCCTCAGGGCAGAGATGGTGGCTGAGTCTTGATAACCCGCCCACACGGGGTGGCTTCTCAGACTCAGATGTGCACAGGAAGGCTGACGCAGTGCGCTGGCTGCGGTGGAAGAGGCTTGGTACAGGTCCTGCCCCTGCAGCTCACTGGAGAGTGGCCTGATGGCACCACTGCCCCGCGTTCCCCGGAATGTGAGGTCATGGGGCTGCTGCTCAGAGCAGAGATGTGCGGACACACCCACCTGGGAGTGCCCCCTTAGGTCCGTGTTGTGTCTATTTGGGGGTACTGCAGTGTTCAGGGTCACTGCCCCAGCTGGAGGCCCCCCTTGGGCACCTACCCACACCCCTACTCACAAGCCCCACAGCTCCTCATGTGTGGGTTCCAGAAGAGGAGGCTGGGACCTGGGTGGGGACGTGACCTGCCCAGGGTCACTTAGGGGGCACAGGTCTGGGCAAGAAGACCCTGGAGCCGCCGCCTGGACCAGAACTATTCAGGGCTGAGTGCAGGGCCTCCTGGGGTTTCCCACCTGTGCTCATTTCAAGAAGCCTGTCCCAAAACTGCAGTCATGGTAAATGGTGTCCACACACGTGGTTGTCCGTGCCGAGACCTGCTCTGAATGGCTTAGGGGCTGTGTGTGGGGGAGTGGAGGCCTGAGGAGCAGGGCTGACCTGGGGGTGACGTGCAGACGGCCCGAGACGGGCAGTCGCAGCAAGGCCAGCCACGCCTGAGAGCAACACATCCGGGCCTGCCAGCCTGCCTGGGTGTCCTCACCTCGGTGACCTGATGCTCTCTCACCTTAGCTTTGCCAGCACTGAGTACCTGAGCGCCCTTCGCAGGATCACCCCGGTTGTTCAGCAGCACCAGGAGGCCCTAGTCCCCGGGCAGCCCCAGCTCAATGTGTGCAACCAGGCAGTCATGGTGAGTGGTTTCCGCGTACGTGGTTGTCCGTGCGGGGAGGATGCCATTCCTGTGGGGGACGTCCCCAGGACCAGGAGTGCTGTGGGGTCTGCATGCCCTGGCTCGTTCTTCTGTGAAAGGGATGCTGTCCTCGCCCCCAGCACGCCATCTCCCATTGGTGACTGCTGCATGGGTGCAGGCAGAGCCCCAGCTTCTTTGAGAAGACAGTCTTAGCGACGGGAGGAGGGGGGAGGCGGCTGACCTGGCCAGGGCACTGCTGCCATCTCCTGGGCCCTGTGGGAACTGCTGCAGCCTGGCCACGCCTGGAATTGGAGAAAGTGGGGGACCCCGCACTGAAGTCAGGCAGGAACAGTGTGGCTCAGCTTCTGGACTTAAAGTGAGCAGTCACTGGATAGGTGTGTGCATTACATGTGTGTGAGCACATGTGGGTATGTGTGAGTGCGTGCAAAGCCTGAGGGGTCCCCTACTCTTCTCCATACCCCTGGCCCCTCAATCCCTGGATGGAGGAAAGGTTCCACTCTCAGTTCTTGGCCCCTCCTTCAGGCTGAGCCCTGGCCCCTGTACATCCAGCCCCCAGCTCAGCCCTGGACACCCCCCTTCCAGACCCCAGCTCACCTCCGGGCTCCCTGAACTTCCAGGTTAGCCCAGGTGAGGACTCAGTGTGGTGTCCTCTAGTCTGTCTGACAAGATCAGACCCACTGCGGACCTCGAGCAGTAGTTGGCTGTCCTGCTGAGCATCAGACACCCAAGGCACTGGCCTTCCTGAACCCCCAGACTCACAGGCTGGACCCAGAATCTGTTCTGTAGGCACTTGCTGCTCTCTCTGCTTAGTCTCAAAGATTGGGAACAAAACAGCTTCCTTATCGAAACCTGCCAGACACAGGTGGCCAGACCCTCCTGACACGGGCAGCCAGGGTGGGAGAGGGCTTTCCTGTCCCAGGTCCTGCCCCCCAAGTGATTCTGAGTCTCCCGACTGTGGCACAGAGACACCCCCTGGATATTAGAGGAACATGGCAAAAACAGGAAGGTTTTGGTTTAGGGTCATGGGTCTCCCTTTCTGTTGCCAGGAAAAACGGCCACATAAAGGAAGTATGCACATTCATTACACAGCTGGGCTAGGGCTGCACTGAAACAGGCCAGCTCGCCCTGGCAGGTTTGGCTCACCGGTTAGAGCGTTGGCCTGCGGACCAAACAGTCTCAGGTTCGATTCTGGTTAAGGGCATGTACCTCAGTTTGGTCCCCAGCCCTGGTCAGGGTTGTGTGGGAGGCTACCAATCAATGTGTCTCTCTCACAGAGATGTTTCTCTCTCTCTCCCTGGGAAATGGTGAGAGATGTGAAGCCTGTCCGCCCTCGCTGGAGTGTGGAGCTGCTCTCTATCACAGCGGGGCGTGTGCAGGCCTTGACGTTTGCTCTACTTGGAACATGGCCAGGGGATTGGGGCAGTTAGCAAATGGTCCCCTCAGATACCAGAGGGCTCAGGCCAGGGCCTGGGCAGGGGAGGAGTCTAGAAACTGCTGAGTACAGAAGTGTTTAGAATAACAGCACATTCTTTTTCTGAATTTTCATTTTCCAGAACTGGGCGCCTCCGGGCTGTGAAAAGTTAGGGAAGTGTCTGACGCCTCCAGAGTCTGTTCCTGAGAAGTGCTCCTGGCCCCACTAGCACCCGCTCAGGCCTAGACCAGGCCCAGGCCCTCTCACTGGCCCTGCACCTGCCTGGGGGTAGGAAGGGTCTCGCTCCCGCGTTGGAAGAGCTTCAACTGCCCTGTGTCCTGCCCACCAGCAGAGGGATGTCACCTGCAGGCAGCAGCACGACCTGCAAGGCTATACCACCTGGCCCCGGAGTCACTCCTCAGCCCTCTTCTCAGCCCACCTGATACTGCTGCCTTGAGCCTGAGGTCCTCGTCAGCCCCGCGTGCAGGTCTCAGTCCTCCCACCTGTCTCATCCTCCCACTTGGCTCTTACCATCTGCAGACTGGCCTTGTTCAGGGCCTGGCCTCCATCCCAGGGCTGGAGGGTGTGACTCGCCACGGATGCCTTCAGCCCCAGTATCAGCAGAGGCTGTGCCAATCCTGTGTTGAGCCCCTTGGTACTGCACAGAGGGGACACCCCGGCCCCACCTCCCTGCACACCACATGGAAGGGGAAGGAGGCAGAGGGCCTCCCTGACCTGGATCCTCCATAGCCAATCCCCCCAACTCCAGTGGGGACAGCTAATGCTGCTGCTTCTCTGGGACATGAGGACGTCAGCATCCTCAGTTTTCCACTTTTCTTAGGGATCTACACCCCTAACCCTAGCACATGATGTCTGCACCTCACAGCCATCCCAGCCACCCTCCTCCCCTTGGCACCTGGTGTGGCAAAGCATGAAGAGCCCTTTCACTGGCCCAAATCAGAGCCTGAGCAACCAAGCGAGGACTCCAAGGTCCTTGCCCAGGAAGGCATGGGGCACTTCCTCCACTGAGGGGTTTTCTTCACGTCAACCGCGATTATCTTGCCAAAGCTCTATTGCTGGAAGTTGGGAAATTAAGAAAAAACGGTTTTAGAATAAAGTAACAGGCATTTTAGCTCTTGTATTTTAGAATGAGTTTATAGCCCGGCTGCTGTGGCTCAGTGGTCATGGGTTGGATTCCTGGTCAAGGAATCCAGTAGGGGCTGTGCAGGAGGCGATCCTGATGTTTCTCTCATCATAGATGTTTCCATCTCTCTCTCTCACTCTCCTTTCCTCTCTCTCTAAAAAAAAAAATCAATAAAAACATTTTTTACAAATAAAATGAGTTTATGTTTGGGGTAAGTTGTCCCTCCTGGGTACCCTGGTGGGGGGCTGCAGTGGAGTGTCCCCCTCAGCTTCCTCCACAAACACAAGTGGCTGTGCTCTCAAGGTGGCCTCCAGCCAGGCCAAGCATTCCAGCCGCCCTCCTCCCCGCGTCCCAGTCAAGAAAGGCTGAGAGGGGCTTCCTCCCTCTGCAAACCTCCACTCCAAGCCAAGCACCATATGCCCAGGCTTCCTCCTCTGGTTCGACCCCTCTCCTAGCCAGGCCATCGCAAGCTCCCTGGTCCTCCCTGAACCTGCCCCCCAACTCTGGCCCTCCCCTCCAGCTACTGCACTGCACTCCTACTCGGAACCTCCTTGCTCACGTCCTCATTCACCCCGAAAGTTCCTGGAGGGGAGGGCCGCGCCCGCACGTGTCTGCGCGCGTGTCCGCTTGCTCTTGTGTGTCCAACCCCTGGCACGGTGCAGCAGGAGCTCAGCGGAGACACCCCCCCGGGGTGTCAGGAAGATGGGGGAAGCTGCGGCAAGACAGGGCGTGCCAGGGACTGGCGGGGCCAGCACGCACCGCCCACGGCCTGGGAGGTCCCAGCCAAAGCTTTCCTGAGGACCTGCCAGGCGCCCTGGGGCGGAACAACACCGCGCGAAGATCTCCCCCAAAACCCGGCCGGTCCTGCGCAGACACTATATTCCATCGACCTTGACTCGCACCTCGGCCCCACGCGACCGTCCCTGTGGCGGAGACGTGTATGTTCAGGGTACAAAAAAATAAGCAGGCGTCTTAAAATCGACCGCACCTAACATTCGATGAAATACGGGACTTGCTCCAGGGGCCGCCCAGCCCCGCCCCCGGCGTCCCGCCCGTCTTCCCGCCACGCAGACGCCCCGCCCCCAGGCGTGTCCCCGCGCAGGCGCGGGCCGCCGAGCTGGCCCACCCGCGGGCACGTGCGGGTGTAGCAATGGCGGACCCCCAGCTGCAGCTGGTGGCGCGGCGCATCCGCAGCTTCCCGGACTTCCCCACCCCGGGCGTGCTGTTCAGGTGCGCACGCGGGCGGGCGCGGGCAGGCCACATGGGGCCGGGCGACTCGAGGGCCCCGCTGGGCGTTGGGACCCGCTGGCCTGGGGCGTTGTCCCGCGCGGAGAGTGGTGCCGTCGGGGTGCCTGGGGGCTCTGCCCCTGGGAACCGCCACGCCCACGCCGAGACTCGACCCCGGAGTCACCCGGCCTGTGCTTGCGCGCCAGGGACATCTCGCCCCTCCTGAAGGACCCCGTCTCCTTCCGCGCTTCCATCAGCCTCCTGGCGAACCACCTGAAGAAGACCCACGGCGGCAAGATCGACTACATCGCGGGCGAGTGGAGGGTCCGGGGCGAGGGGGCCCTGCCGCCTCGGGGTCGTGAGGTGGAGGGGGTCACGGGGTCCGGCCAGGCCCAGGAGGCAGATTGGGGGAGCTTCCTTTCCCGAGTCAGGCAGCGGGAGGAAGGACGGCTCCACCCCCGCTTGGGAGAGGTCCTTCGGTGGGGGCACTTCAGGGGACCCAGCTGCACGGTGCTTGGTTGATAACTCTAGCGTGGGCCGTAAGGCTCTGCCCGCCGCCCCCTGCTTTGCAGCCCTGAGCGGGGTGAAAGGCTCCGCCAGCGGCCTGGGGAATGTCTTCTGCTGGGTGGTACTGCTTTTCCGGCTGTGGGGCTGAGGGCAGCCCAAGCCCTACCCGGTTCCTGGTCTCCAGCGCCGGGGAGTGTCCGACCAGAATCCACTGAGCCGGGCAAGCCTTCTAGTTCCCTTTCTACAGGCTTGTCTGGAGCGCCCGCCGAGTGCCAGGCCCTTGACCCAAGGCGGGGCTTCCAGAAGGCTAGCAGAGATCAGGGATTATTACCTTGGGGTCTTGTCTCCCTGTGAGAGCCCCACCCCCTGACCCTCCCATTGATCCCCTCCCCCCCACCGCTTGGAGGGCGGCAGTGCTGTTCCCCTCTTCAGTGGGGTGTGTCCCCCAGAGTATTCTTTCAGAGTATTCCTTCTTCACCACATTTCCTGTCCCTGCCTCTACCGCTGGAGAAGCTCCTGGGGCAGACGCTGATTTTAAAGACAAGAGCACTGTGCTGAACATGTCTCATAGTTACTATCAGCCCAGTGAGACAGACAGCTGATCTTTGGAAAGAGGTCAGGTGACTTCCCTGACACTACCGGGTTATTTACTTACTCAACCGTGTAGAATGTACTTTGTCCTTGGTCCCAGGTTCTAACCTCCACCCTTCAGCACCCAAGTCCCTACGCATGGTACGTCAGCGTTCCCTCGGTAGACGGATGTCATTGGCCTTTTAGCTGGCATCAACAAGGCACCGTGTGTTTGTAGTGATTATTTGTCATTATCCAGCCCTGACCCATGGGAATCCCCATTCTACTGTGCCACACGGCTGTCTCCCAACACTCCAGCTCTCACCAACAGGCCTAGACTCTCGAGGCTTTCTGTTTGGTCCCTCCCTGGCCCAGGAACTTGGCTTGGGCTTCGTGCTCATCCGAAAGCAAGGAAAGCTGCCGGGCCCCACTGTGTCCACCTCCTACACATTGGAATATGGGAAGGTGAGAGGGCTGGGGGCGGCTGCCATGGTTGGAGTGGATGTGGATGCTCAGAGGCTGAGACACTGGGCCAGGCTCACACAACCAGGAGTGTTGAAACTGGGGCCCAGGTGGCAGCCCCTTGCCAGCTCCTGGGCCCTGCACACCAAGGCTGTTCTCAGATATATGCCAACCACGTGCTCTTTCCCATCCACAGGCTGGCCTGGAAATCCAAAGAGATGCCCTGGAGCCAGGGCAGAAGGTGGTAGTCGTGGATGATCTGCTGGCCACTGGTGGTGAGGGTTTCCCCCAACAGAGGGCTTGGTACTGGGGGAGTTTGTGAGGGTGGAAGGGCCTTGCTATGTGAGAAGTGGATTAGGTCCTTGACTCATTTGCCTGCTAGCCAATGGGAGCCTGTTGCACTGCCATCTCCTTCCTCCCCCAACCCTCTGGGTGGCACGGGGGCTCACTCTGCTCCCTTCTCCCCTCCACTTCCACCAGGAACCATGCGTGCAGCCTGTGAGCTGCTGGACCAGCTGCGAGCCGAGGTGTTGGAATGCGTGAGCTTAGTGGAGCTGACCTCGCTGAAGGGCCGGGAGAGGCTGGGGGCTGTGCCCTTTTTCTCCCTCCTGCAGTATGAGTGACCTCGATAACCCTGCCCCACCCAACTAGAAAGAGGAGAAGTCCGGCTTCAGTGGCTACAGTGATCTCCGTTGGCTGCCAGGGAGAACTCGCTGCCCACCTGGACTTTTCTATCCATTTCTGTGGTTGAGTGACTTATCCACAGGGACCTTCCTGCAGGTTCTGGAAGTGCAAAGGCCTGAAGTCGGTAGCCCAGGGCAAAGCCAAGCCCAAGCTGCTCAGGTTCATTTACAGTGAAATAAGAACATGAATAATCAACTTGCTAGAGTGGTGTTTCTTCACGTGTCCAGGGTGGCATCTGGGCCTTAGGACCAAGGGGAGGGGGTAGTGCAGGGGCCCCATGGCTGGCCTGGGGGTGTGTGGCATGCATTCAGAGCATTTTTAACCACCTGTGGTTCTCTGGTGGAGGAGCAGACAGACTTAGGAAGCGGGTGCTGCCCAAAATGGTGTGGTTTCCCATTGCTGCTATGTCAGAAGACGCAAACATAGTGGTTTAAAACTTTATCTTCTGGTTGTCCCTCTGTGTCCACATGGGTATTTGTTCTAGGATACTCTCCCCAGTAACAAGATATGAAGATGCTCAGGTCCCTTACATAAGCTGGCATAATCTCTGCACATCCTCCTGTATACTTTATGTTTATAATACTTAGCACTATGTAAATAGTTGTATTATTTAGGGAATAATTACTAGTCTATAAATGTTCAGTACAAAGCAACCATCCTGGGCCCAACTAGTAGTGCACAACAACATAACTTTTCCCCTTTGCTTGGGTCAGTTGATTGGCAGATAGAGGGCCAACTAGCCTAAAAACCAAAGTGAAGACAGGGCTGGTCCTCCATTCCTTGGCTCATAGCCCCATCCTCCAACCTCTGCTGCGATGGCACTGGGCCCACCAGGTAATATAGGATCAACTCTCAAGATCCCTGTGTGTGGGGGGGAGGTAATTCTGCCAACTACACAGCCCAAATCCATGCTGGCAGAAAAAATCACCCCACCAGCACACACCTCCTGTGCAGCAAAGACAAATCTAAGAGAAATAAGTTTTGTTTTCCTTTATTGATTTTAGAGGAAGGAAGAGGGAGAGATAGGAACATCAATGAGAGAGAACATCGATTGGCACCTCCTGCACGCCCCCCATTGGGGGTTTGGCCCACAACCTGGGCAATGTTCCCTGACCAGGAATCGAACCAGCGACCTCTTGGTGCATGGGTCGATGCTCAACCACTGAGCCACACTGGCCTGGCTAAGAGAAATCAGTTTAATGACAACATGCTGTATGAGGTGGGTTTACCACCCACAATGGCCAGAGAATTCCCCCCAGGCCCTGTAGCCAGAGCCCAGTGCAGCTGGGAGAGCAAAGTGCATCACGCTCTTAATAAAACAACACAGTGGACCAGGCCGGGGCCTTGGGCCCATATTTGTGTGTTGGTGCAGTCATCAGGCTCACAGCACCTCCTCAGCACGAGCAAGGCGGGCCAGCTGTGCAGTGACACCTGCCAGGTCAGCAGCCTTGTCCAGCTTCACATAGGTGTCAGTGCGGATGCGGTGGAGGCTGAGCCAGTCGGGCAGCAGCTCAGAGAGGAGCTGAACATGCTTCTCCATCTCCTCTGTAGAAAAAGGGGCCTTGTGAGGTGGGGGCTTGCCCCCAAGTTTCAGCCCCTGCCTGCGCCCTCTTCCACCCCCAAGGCTGGACAAATCCACGTGCCCAGAAGCAAAGTAATAAATAGTGACAGGACAGGGTGGTCCCATGGGACAAGGACAATTGAGGGATTACAAGGGCAAATGCCAGGTTTGTGAGGGAGACAGCCTCAAAAGACTGCACGGTTAAAGGGGCCGGGTGGAGACTCGGCTGGCCTCAGGAGCGCTGTGCCCACCCAATGCACACAAGCAGGTGTGGAGAAGGGTGCAAATTCATGGTGCCCACCCTCATCTGGGACTCGGACATAAGGAGTGTCTGTGGCCCCTGCCCGCACCTGGGCTCATGGCCGTGCGGTAGCTGCCCACCATCCTGGCACAGGCCACCTCCATGGTCAGTGCTGGCTTGCGCTCAGACACAAAGATGCTACGCAGCACCCGGGCCAGCTCAGGCAGCCGCTCGAGCCGCTGCAACCTCTGCTCCTGTTCTGGGCGCCGCGTCATCTGTGCCAGCTGCTTCTGCACCTCCTTGGCCCGGATCTGCAGTTGGCATGGGGAGTGGTCAGTAGACAGCTTGCCCCACTCTACCCCATCCCTGGACCCCAAACACTCACCCGCTCCAGCAGGTCCTGGGACACCCCCTTCAGGGGAGCAGGTGGAGTGGCCGGAGGGGTGGCTGGCAATACCAAGCTGGAGGACCCAAGGCTGCTGGGCTCCGCTGTGCGCAGGGCTAAGTCACTCAGCGCCTTCTCCATCTGGGGCAGGTCAGAGAGGAGAGGTCAGAAGTTTCCCCTGGCACAGCCACAGGGGAGGCCCTTCACATCCCATTTGCATGGACACCCTCCTGCCCAGGAGGCCCCTGTATGTCCAGCCCAAGTTCACCCCAGCACATCAGAGGCCTGTGCTGGGCACCTCTGGGTAAAGCCCGCCAGCGGGTGGTGCTCTGAACAGAGGGAGGGTACATACCACTACCCACGAGGCCATGGCCACGCTTGGAGTCGGGCTACCTTCCCTGAGAGACGAGGCCAGCCTCACCTTGGGTGACATCAGGCTTCGGGCTCGGGCCAGCACGTCCTGAGCAGTGGCCAGCTTCTCCGTGGTGGGTGGCTGAGGCAGCTCAGCAGGCTCGATGTCAGGTACTTCATCCACGTTGAAGCGGGGGTGCCAACGTGTCAGTCGGTCCTCTGGCACCACCATGGGGGGATTCAGGGAGGCCAGGAAGACCTGTCCAAGAAAGGAAGGCACCTGATGACCCTGGGCACATCTGGCTGGAGTGGAGCAGGGCTGTCCAAGCACCCTCAGGCACAAGTAGAGGACCCACTGTAGTTATCACAAGCCTCCCAAGGCTTGAGGCTGCACCCCTGAGCTCCTCGATCCTGTGTTCAGGGTAGAACCCCCTCACCTGGAATCCAGGGCCAGAGTCCCCACAGAGACCAGAAACCCCATCCAGCCCATGCCCACCTCATCCATATGAGATGACAGCCAGTTTAGGTAAGTGGTTTAAAAGGAGAACTCTAGAACACAGCCTCTCAAGAGGGCCCATTTCCTTCTGGTTAAGACAAGGCTGTGGCGATAAGCACTGAAGAAGGGGACAAAGCACAAGGCCTAGCACAGGAGACACCTCATACAACAAGGACTGAGCTAGTCATCTTGGGGTTGTCGGCTCACCCTGTGGTGCTCCCGGACGCGCTCCACCAGGTTCTGGCTGAAGACCTGTCGCCGCTGCAGGAGGTGTGAGGCTGTGAGCTGGGGGCCCATGTTACCAACTTCTGCAGGGAGAGTCCAAGCCTGAGCCCCTGGGCCAGAACCACCCAGTCACCAAGCCCCATAACACAGTTCTCAGACGAGGGGACCAGTGCCCAATGCCTCACACCCGTGCTCCAAACTGCAGCGTCACAGGTGGGGAAACCAAGGCTCAGAGATGTGTGGACTCAGCCACAGCACACTCACCCTGGTCCAACAGCGGTTCAATGGTGAGCTGGTAATCGGACCTCTTGACACCATCCCTGAAGGTGGGGACATTGCGCTCCTGGCGGAAGCGGTAGGAAGTAGGATACACTGTTTTGATCTGGCCCACGTTGCGCTCCTCAAAGCGCCTATGGGATAAGGGTGCCAGGGGTCAGAGAGGCGGTCTGCTTCCAATGCAGAACAAGGCCCACACCCTCCAAGGCACCCTGCTCACTTGCGCATCATGTCCTGTACTCCCTGCTTGACCTTGGCAAAGGTCACAGTCTCCGAGCGGTTGTAGAGCATGCCCACGATGGTGTCCATGCTGCGGAACATCTCAGCCAACACCTGGTACTTGTAGGGCAGCACAAGGCCAGGAGGCCCTGGCTGGGCCAGGGCATGGAAGCGCTGATAGGCAGGTACCTTCTCTCCACTGCCAGGGAGGAAATCAGGCGTTCAAAGAAGCCCATCAAACCCACACTCCCTCTAGGACCCAATGGCTGGCAAAGCAGCTGGGGATACCCCAGAACTGGGGCTTGCAAAATTGCCCCCATGGCATACTGCATACCAGTTTACAAATTTCTTGTACGCCCAGCTCTGCCATGTCCTGCCCCATGACCCAGGGAGGTCCCTGGCCACCCCCAGCTCTGGTTTCCTTATCTTCAAGAGGCACATGACACCCACAGGACCGGAGGAGAATGAACACGAAGACTGAAAACAGATACCCAATAACTACTGGTTGTCGATACCATTTGAAATTCATTAAGGGCCAGTGAGGCAGGAACTGGCACCCTCTTTCAGATGGAGGGTGAAGAGCTAGTGATTGGCACTGAGATCTGAGTGCTCTAACGACTGTGCTAGCTCCCTGATAGATCAGCCCCAGCCCTGCCCGTACCAGGCCTCCCACCAGCCTACCCTTTCCTAGGGTGCCTGACCACCCACCTAAAACTCACCATGACCCCTTTTCCTCCCGTACACTTGATTCCTCCTCATCATTCCTCTGAGCACTTGCTCTCAGCTCCTGGACCCGGGCCCCCAGCTCCCGGGCTCGCTGCAGACATGACTTGAGTTCAGAGAAGGTAACTTTCGTGGGAACCTGTAGACACAGAGTGCTGTCAACCAGCCCATTCAACCCCATATCCCCCTCCCAAACCCCTGATCCAGCCTCCTCACCTTGTCCTCCTCGGGTGCCAATCCGGGCGGCTGACCTGCTGAGAGGGTGGCCTTCTTTGTCTTCTTGCTTGGAGAGGGGTACTCCAGAGAGCCAGACGCAGCTGGGGAGCCAGGGCCTGGGACCTGGAGAAAAGGGCCCCAAAGGTGAACAGATGACAAGACCCTGTAGTGTACTGACTTTACAAAAAGAGGGTTTTCTGTTGCATTCAGTCCAGCCTCTTGGAAGCACCCCACTAAGAGAGGGGCCTGGCCCACCACCTGTTCGTTCTTCTCAGGACAGTTACCAAGGCTTCCCCCCCTAATCCAGCCTTGCAGATGGGCCTGGCATTTACCAGCACACCCAGCTCTGGCCGGCCCCCAGCATCAGTCAGTTTCACGGACTCCCCTCCACCTGCGCAAAGCTTCTTCCCTCTCAATGCAAGTCCTCTCCACGCTGAATCCTTACGGTGGCCAGAGGACGCCGACCTGGCAGCTCAGACTTAGCTCCTGCAATGACTCTCAGCCGGTTCCCTCCGCCCAGTTCTCCCCCTTGGGGCCTGTGTACCCTCTGCAACCAGCCCCCAGGTCTGTGTCCTCCCGCCGAGGCGGGTCTCTGCACAAGCCCTCCCTAGCCTGCCCCCGCCCCGCCCAGCCCCGGCCGCCCCGCACCCTCACCGCATCAGCTTGCAGTTTCAACCTCCTGCGCGCGGGCGGCGCGGGCTTGCGGCGCGAGGGCTCGTCGCACGCGGGCTCGGAGGGCGGGCGGGCGCGCTTGCGGCTGCCGCCCGAGGTGGGAGCCGAGACGCGGGGCGCGGGCTTGGCGGGACTCGGGGTGCGCCAGGTCGGCTTGGCCCTCGTCGACGCGGCGCGGAGTCCAGGGCGACGCCGCGCGAAGAAGTCGGTGAGGCGGCGCTGCGCCATGGCGAGGCTGAAGCCCAGGAGAAGCTGGAGCCGAGCAGCGGGAACCTGCTCACCTTTGGGAACCTGGTAGCGGACGGAAGTAGGGCGATTTTCGCGCCACGCGTGGCCCCGCCCCCTCCGCAGGCGGAACCATCGGCGTGGGGGGGGATAGGAAATGGACGCGCCCAGGCACATGCGCGCTGGTGCTCCCAGGCTGGCCGGCCGCACGCATGCGTCGCAGCGAGGCCCTCTCCAGGGTTTGGAGGTATTTGCGGTTTCTGTTCAGTTTCAGGGCCTTCGTGGGGTCTGCGTGGGCACCAAGCCGGTGCAGTGCTGGAAAGCGACACAGTGTGTTTAACGAAAAATGCTACGCTATTTACAGCTTATCTTTAATTACAGTGCAATAAAACAAGGCCCTGGCCCCTTTGGCTCAGCGGTTAAAGCTTCGGCTCGCGGACCAATGAGTCGCGGGTTCCATTCTCGTCAAAGGCACGTATCTGTCCTGGCCCTGGTGGGCCCTGGGGTCCCTGCGGGGGGCAACCTGTCGATGTGGCTCTATCCTATCGATTTTTCTGTCTCTCCCTCCCTCCCACTCATCTGATAAGTAGAAAAATATCCTCAGGTGAGGAATAAAGATAATGAAATAAAATACAGTGCACTAAACCAGTAACTGCTCTGGGCAGGGGCGCTGGACTAGGCAACTGCGCTGTCACCTGGCTGTGCACGTGACCTAGCTTCGCACATAGTGGGGTCGGTCCCGGCCTCAGAGCACCCGTAGCACAACCAGGGGCCTGGGCTCCCCCTACTCCAAACAAGGAGCCAGGCCCAGGTCGTGGGCGACTTGTCCCCCACAACCGGAGAGAACGTGGGGGGAGAGTACGCCTCAGGAAGAAAGATGTTGTGGAGAAATAATACAGATACTACTTTCTAAATGGGTGGACGTCGTGATGTGACTCATATCTCAATTTTTTTTTTTAAGAGTTGCTTTCAAAATAGCTGAGTTGAAAAGAAGTCTTAGGTCTTAGAACCTGATGCTTAGGTTATCTGGAAAACTTGAGCGCCTGATGCCAGCCAGATAAGCAAGGCTCAATGCCGGTGTGATTCCCATCACAGAAAAATGCTGTTCCTCCAGTCCTAAAGTGGGTCTGCAGATCTGGGAGAAAAAGAAACCACAAGGGTTGTCTTTGGGAGGGGGTGAAGGCTGAGAGAAGGGCTTTACTTTTGCAGGTGTTCTGTAAAGAGCATGAATTGTGCCTATAAAAAAAGGTTAAAGAAACAGAAACGTCAGATGATGCCATCAGTGCTTGCAAAATGACAAGAGTGAGAAAGTTGGGGGTTGGTGCAACAGGTGGGTGAAGCATTGAGTTTCCCAGATATATAAGAGGAGCCAGCAACTAGACCCTTACTTTGTAAACATCCAGTAGCAAATTATTAGCAGGACAAGAATCAATGTGGAAGGTTGCAGCCAATATATTTAAAGCTACATTTTTGTTATTGTTTTGTTTTGGTATGTATGCTGTGGGCCACCACTTAAATTGTATTTCTTAAAACAGTGGTTGGGGGTTGGAGGCAGGAATTGACTTGATTCATAGGGGAGCACTTCAAATTTAAGCCTGCTGGGCGCCCAAGAGGGAAAGTTTGCAGGATTCTAGAACTGGGAGCCTAAACTTTTGGCTCACAGCTGCTCATCAGGAGAGAGGGAGTTATCTTCTCTCCCAGGAACATGGTGTTTCCCCACTCTGTTTCACATTTAGAAAATAAAGAAGCACCTGGTCTTGAAAAAGTAGTGGCAGCTGGATCTAACCACAAGTGCCTTGTCAATATTTGGCTGCTGGCAGTTTGGCCCAGCCCCTACCCTCTGAAGATAAGTTGATGGTCAGGATGCAGCCAGTAGGCCTCCCCAGGGCCTCCAAAACGCTGAGCAGGGTCCACCAACATTTCATTTGTCTTGCCACCTGCCCACCCACAGAGTGGTGGAATCACAGAGTGCTGTCCTGGGCTCATGTCGTCCGGTTGTGTGTGAAGGGGCTGGAGGCAGGTCCCAGGGTTGTGAGAATCCAGGAGACCACCTCAGGAGGGGGCTCCCTTCCCACCTGGCCGCCACGAAGCAGTGTGACTTAGGCATGCAGTGCCAGGCATATCCACCGTACGGGGAAAGAGTCATGCACAGCATTGCTATCATTTTGTCCAGACTCGGGGCAGGAGCCTAAAGGCAGAGGTGGGCCCTAGCAACCACCAATGGCTCTAGGGATGAGCTGAATCCAGAGGGGTCTTGTAGAGTCCAGAACATGATTGTAAAATGAGTCTGTCCCATGTGGTAGCTGGGGGACTTAAACAGTGTGGTCTGCATTGACCCCTCACAACCAGCCAGTAGGAAGGGGGCATTCCATACAACAGGGGCCTCAGGACCCTCTCCAGTGCTATGGTCAGTATCCATGCCCTGGCATAGGGTCTGGCTGGGCCACTGTTACACTGTTTAAAATTTGATTTTTTTAAAAATTGATTTTAGAAGGGGGGGGGACTTGTTTGTTGTTCTTATTTATGCATTCATTGGTTGACTCTTGTATGAGCCCTGACCAGGGATCAAACCAAAAATTTTGGTGTATCAAGATGATGCTCTGGAGTCTTCAACCTGTGGGGGTGGAGCAGTGCTGAGCACTGGCTGGACTCCTGGGAAGGGGGATGAGCTGGCATTCACAGCCCAGAGGACTAAACTTTAGTCGCTCATTACTGAGAAGTAGTTAATGTGGGCGTGGCTTATGAAGGGGCAAAATTTGGGAAGACAGTGATACTTGCAGCCTCTGAGCTAGCCTGGAAGGTCCCTTGTTCCCAAGACTTGCAGGGGTTTGATGTCCTGACCCCAAGCTCTGGGAGTTCCTCTACCTCCCATTGAAAAAAAAAAAACTCTCTGCCCTGGCCAGTTTGGCTCAGCACTTGAACGTTGGCCTGTGAACCAGAGAGTCCTGGGTTCAGTTCCCGCTAGGGGCACATACCACACACACACACAAAAAAGATGATGCTCTAAGTAACTGAGCTATCAGGTCACGGCCTGTTACACATTTTTAATGTTATCTTTAGGGAGTAAGCCCTCGGGGGGCAGTGCATCAGAAAATTGTCAGCCCAGCAATGATGGAATATGAACTGTGTGACCCTAGCTTCACGGTCACAACTGATTGGATGAGAGGTGTGAAGCCAGCCAATCAGATTCTCTCCTGGAACCTGAGATTCTAGAGCTGGAATCACCCCTCTCTCTCCTACAACTTCAAGAAGTGAGATGGACTGTGGCCGATGTAGCCTAGTTGGTTGAGCATTGTCCCTTGCACCAAGAGGTCACTGGTTGAGTCCTGGTCAGGGCACATGCCTGGGTTGCAGGCTCAATCCCCAGTAAGGGGTGTGCAAGAGGCAGCTGATTGATGTTTCTCTCTCATTGATTTGTCTTGCTCTCCTTCTCCCTCTCTCTCTAAAAGAAAAAAATAAATAAATAAAAATACATTGTTTTAAAAAGTGATATGGAGCCCAGCCAGTGCGGCTCACTGGTTGAGCGTCATTCCATGCACCAAGAGGTCACCGGTTTGATTCCCGGTCAGGGCACATGCCCAGGTTGTGGGCCCAATCCCAGTGGGGGGCATGTAGGAGGTGGCCAATTGATGTTCGCTCTCATCCATGTTTCTATCTCTCTCTCCCTCTCCCTCTCTCTCTAAAATCAATAAAGAAAAAAAATTTTTTTTTTTTAGTGAGAAGAGGCCTGGCTGGGTAGATCTGTTGGTTAGAACATCATCTTGATATGCCAAGGTTTCGGGTTCAATCTCCGGTCAGGGCACATGCAAGATTCAACCAATAGCCTGGCTTGTGTGGCTCAGTGGACTGAGTGTCCTCCCATGGACTGAGAGATCCCAGTTCAATTCCAGGTCAGAGCACATGCCTGGGTTGTTGGCTCGATCCCCAGTAGGGGGCGTGCAGGAGGCAGTCGATCATTTTTTCTCTCTCACATCGATGTCTCTATCCCTCTCTCCCTTCCTCTCTAAAAAAAAAATCAGTAAAAACATTAAAAAAAAGAATCAACCAATGAATGCATAATAAGTAGAACAACAAATAATTTTTTTTCTCTCCCTTCCTCTCTCTCTCTCTTGAAAATCAATAAGAATTTTTTTTTTAGGAAAATGAGATGGAGTAGGATACCATCTTCCACCATGTGTGTCTCCAGAAACAGAGAGGAGTATAGTTTTACTCCATAGTGCCAACACCTAGTAGAAAATATTAAACCAATGAATGAAGAATCAGGGCTGTGCTTTGATTTAACTTATTTCTGGCACATAGCAGGCACCCAAATGTGTGCTGAATATATGGCCCCAAAGAAGGCACACTGGTTCTCTACTGCTGCATAACAAATTGCCCCAAACTTAGCAGCTTAAAATAATCATGTGTTATCTCACATGGTTTCTGTGAGTCAGAAATTCAGGAGAGGCTTGGCTGGGTGGTTCTGACTCAGGGTCTCATGTCGCTGCAGTCAGATGGTGACTGAGGCTGGAGATGCCTAGAAGGCTCCCTCCCTCACGTGTGTGGCACACAGGAAGAGTCCAGCTCCTGGCTGGAAGAATGGGAACTGTGTGGGTTCCTCTCTCCTTTGGGTCTCTCCTCCTGGTCTTCAGCATGGCACCCTCAGGGTAGCACCCTCTGGGCTACCTCAGGTGGAACAATGAGAGAGCCTGCAGGCCATACCCGCCCCCCCAACATTTAAATTTTTATTTGTTTTTTATGATTGATTTAAGAGAGAAAGATCAATTTATTCCACTTTTTTAATGCATTTATTGGTTGATTTTTTTTATCCTCACCCAAGGACGTTTTTGCATTTATCTTCAGATAGAGCAGGAGGGAGAGAGGGAGGGAGAGAGAGAGAGAAACATCGATGTGAGAGAGACACATCGACTGGTTGCCACCCACACAACCCCAACAGGGGCCGGGGACAAACTGCAACCGAGGTACATGCCCTTAGCGGGAACCAAACCCAGGACTCTCTGGTC